CAGCTCAGGGCATGATCTCACGGCTTGTAAAGGGTTTGAGCCCCATGTTGGGCTCTGTGCTGACAGCTCAGAGCCTGGAGCTGCTTCGGATCCTGTGTCTCCCTCTCTCTCCCCTGCTCACGCTCTGTCTCTCTGTCTCTCAAAAATAAACCTTAAAAAAATTTTTTTAAATTTATTTTTAAGAGAGAGACATTGTGAGCAGGGGAGGGTCAGAGAGAGAGAGAAAGAGAAAGAGAGAGAGAGAGAGAGAGACACGGAATCCAAAGACAGGCTCCAGGCTCTGAGCTGTCAGCACAGAGCCCGACGCAGGGCTTGAACCCACAAACCATGAGATCATGACCTGAGCCAAAGCCAGATGCTCAACCGACTGAGCCACACAGGTGCCCCCTAAAAAAATTTTTTTAAGTGTGCTGACACATTAACGGACTTAAAAACACTCCACGATTGAGGTTTTACTTAAGAAAACATCCTTTGCACGTGTATCCAAACATTTACATATACGGACCCATTCACCTCTCAGGAAAGGGGGTGAATCTCCAGAATAAATCTGCACAGACCATCACTGATTTGACTGTTGAAGCGCAGGTCTTACACAGCATACCTCACGTGTTCGATCTTACGCATTATTCTTAGCCCCATTCAGAGGTCAGAACGAGGGAGGGAAAACAAAGAGCAACTCTCTTTTACTCCATCGAGAAAGAGTAATTTTGAAAATTAAAGAAAAAAAAAAAAAAGATAGGGGTGCCTGGCTGGCTCCAGTCAGTAGAGCATGCAACTCTTGATTGTAGGGTTGTGAGTTCAAGACCCACTTTGGAGATTACTTTGAAAAAAAAAAAAAAAAAAAAAGATAACAGATTCAGGAAGTCCTTGACTCAAGATCCTCGTTGGTGTAAGAAAGTCAGCCAGAGGAGGGGCGCCTGGGTGGCTCAGTCGGTTAAGCGTCTGACTTTCGCTCGGGTCATGATCTCGCGGTTCGTGGGTTCGAGCCCCGCATCGGGCTCTGTGCTGACTGCCAGCTCAGAGCCTGGAGCCTGTTTCAGTCTGTGACTCCCTCTCTCTCTGACCCTTCCCTGCTCATGCTGTCTGTCTCTCTCTCTCTCTCCTAGAAATAAATAAAAACCTTAAAGAAAAAAAAAAGTCAGTCAGAGGAGGGATGGAAGGCACCAAAAAGTGTATCAGAACCCAGAGGACTAAACATGGCATGTTAACAATAAAGAATAAATGGGTCACTTCTGTCAAGCACGATGCTATATTGTTAAAACAGCTACCAAAGCACAAAACGTAAGTAACCGTCCAGGACGACACAGCTAAAAATGACTGGGGCTAGGAGTCCAGTCACCGTTCAAACTCATCACTCAGTCCCATCTAACAAAAGCCGTCAGCAACGACTTCATGTTGTTTAGTATTAAGACCCTATTTAAATGTCCTGGTAACTCCTTTTATTTTTATCCATTCTACATCCCACCAAAGTCCACACTCTACGGTTGGAGCCTATCCCTTAACTCCTGTTGCTTGGGGGGGGGGGGGGGAGGAGAACATTTTAAAATGTATTTTGGAAATCCACATTAGTAAGAAAGATATTTCAATCTTATTCATAAAACATGACTGACAGATTTTTATAATCTGTGTGAAATAAGAGTTTATATTTTTGTTGAAACACTCAATTGTCTTATTAAAATAATTTCTACGGGGCGACTGGGGGGCTCAGTTGGTTGAGCGTCCGACTTCGGCTCAGGTCATACATCAAAGTTCTTGAGTTCGAGCCCTGCATCGGGCTCTCTGCTGTGAGCACAGAGCCTGCTTCTGATCCTCTGTCCCTTTCTCGCTCTGCCCCTCCCCTACTCGCGCTGGCTCTCGCACTTTCTCTCTCTCAAAACGAAATAAAACTTTAGAAAAAACTCTGGAACAGCTTTAGCTGAGAGCTGTAGCTCCCTTCAGTAGGCTGTAAAAGGCGCCCAGACGTTTGGCTGGAGGCAGAGCAAAGTCAGTAGAGCAAGTTCCTGGGGAGGAGAGAACACGCGGCCCCTCGCTGCTGATGGAAGGGAGACACAGTGAAGTTTCTTCCTTGGGCTTCATTCTCATCTGCAAAAGCGCAGCAGGGGCCACGAGCAGGTGGCTTGGGAGACACACAGGGAGAACTTTCCTTGATACGTTCAAGGCGGAGAAGGTTCTCTTTCTAGGAGAAAAGGCTAAAGTACAGATCTCCTGGCGAGAGTTCGGATACGGGCCCTCTGCGCCCTCCACCACCCACCACCGCTGGGCCGGCACGAAACCCCGCTGCCGACGGCAGGGAAAACGAGGCCAGCCGGCATCTTGCTCCATCCAGTCAGTTCACAGAAGCAATTTCAGGTCAGAATCACGGAGCTTTACACCTCACACGATGTTAACTTTTTCCGTAAGAGTATACGGTGTTTCTGCTCTCACACACACACACACACACACACACGCACATGCACAATAGCAGAATCTAAATTGTATGGTGATTTTGAGTTTCTGAGTATTTGTTTTCACATCCCTCACCCAGTTTCATGATCTCAACAACCCAACTAGATAGGGCATAATCATTAAACCCATTTCACAGTCAGGTAACAGGTGCACTGGGCTTGGACCTGCTGGGGACCCGCTGGGTAGGAGCCCCCCTTGCATCAGCCGCCCCAGCAGACAGCACTCTTTCCGGCGCTACCACTCTCTTCCTCAGTTAGTCAGGGCCTAACTCGAAGTAACACTGGAAAAAGTATATATACATTAAACCACATGAAGTTAATCTGAGGAAGAAAGGTTAAGCTGTGTCAAAGTATTCAATTAAAAAGTGTGGCTCGGGAAACCTAACTACTAGGAAAAAAGACAGAAATATAAAAGAGTAAAAATAAGAATAGAAATAAGTAGAAACGCAGGGCTCACTTCCTTGAAAATACATTTTAAAAAATTTTAATGTTTATTTTATTTTTTTTTTAATTTTTATTTATTTCTAGGAGAGAGAGATAGACAGCGTGAACAGGGGAGGGTCAGAGAGAGAGGGAGACACAGACTCTGAAACAGGCTCCAGGCTCTGAGCTGGCAGTCAGCACAGAGCCCGATGCGGGGCTCGAACCCACGATCCGCGAGATCATGACCTAAGCGAAAGTTGGACGCTTAACCGACTAAGCCACCCAGGTGCCCCAATGTTTATTTATTTTTGAGAGGCAGAGAGAGAGCATGAGCAGGGGAGGGTCAGAGAGGGAGGGAGACACAGAATCTGAAACAGGCTCCAGGCTCTGAGCTGTCAGCACAGAGCCCAACGCAGGGCTCAAACCCACAAACTCTGAGATCATGACCTGAGCTGAAGTCGGACACTTAACGGACTGAGTCCCCCCAGGCGCCCTGAAAATACATCTAGCAAACTATTCCTATGTGATAGAACGTTGGGTAATCATCAGTATTTTTTTTTACAAAATGAATACGGTGTAACCACTTTATTCTTAATTACTCCATACAAGCTGATCCTTTGCTGCACCCAACGATTAGGAAGGCCCGATAGCAGAAAACAGTAGCAAAAAAGGCGACACTCAAAGCCAGAGAAACCTGAGTGCAGGGACTGAGGACTTGTCCTTGGGTACTGCCCACTCAGATGCCCCAACCCGTTCCTCTCGTGAACCACTCGGGTCCACAGCACAGGGCATGCGACTTCCTGACCACTGTCCTATTTAAGGACAGGAACTTCCTATGTGGGAAGTCAGGAGTGAAGCCTGTTTCCAAATTTACTGGATCACAGGAGAGGCTGAGCTGCTTTTCCCACCCTGGTGCTCTGTACCATTACACCTGAACAGTATTTGCGAAGCTCAGGACTTAAAAAGGAATCCTTTTCCTACTGGCAAACGTTCAGTGGCCTTGATGCTGTGCCTTTCGGATGCTTACAGGGCTCCCTCGTCCTCAGTGGTCATCACCTCGCCTCCTTAGCACACGATTCACTATGGGAAAAACAGGGGCGCCTGGATGGCTCTGTCCCTTACACGTGGCACTCTTGATTTCAGCTCAGGTTATGATGTCAGGGTGGTGGGTTCGAGCCTCAGGTCTGGCTTCTCGCTAAGTTTGGAGCCTGCTTGGGATTGTCTCTTCCCAGCTCTCTCTCTCTCTCAAAAAAAAAGGAGACAAAACACAGCCCAACACCTACCTAGGTTTTAAAATCACACCACAGGAAAACCAAAAATTATACCCCTAAATAAACTATTTAAAACCCTTTCAGGGGCACTAGACCGGCTCAGTCGGGAGCACCTGCAACTCTTGATCTCAGGAGTCGTGAGTTCGAGCCCCACCTCGGGTGTAGAGACTACTTTTAAAAAATTAAAAATCTCTCATATCTGGTTGCGATAAGAAAAATAAATACAACTGTTGTAAAGTTATACTAAATATTCTGAAGTTAAAGCAAGAGTCTCAAGACCCCAGACGAAAACCAATTGTGGAAAGTGTGTCCTGGGCCCTTGCACCCGCAAATGCCCTTTGTAACTGGGAAGGAAGAGTGAAGGGAAAGTCGAATACGGACAAGTACGTCCTTGGAGACGCGTGGCTCTACTTCGGCTGCCGGAATACTCGTATACGAAAGTATTTCAGACTCGAATCCCCTCCCGGCTGAGACTGAGAGTCCTCCCCGCCAGAAGACGGAAGGGCGAGCGGGACGCGGCACACGTCCGGCGGGGCCTCCCGCGGGGGCGATCGGCGCACCTGCCGCGCACCTGCCGCGCACCTGCCGCAGCGCCCGCGTCCCGGGCGCGCGCGCTCTCCCTGCGCCTCCCGCTGCCCCCTCCCAGCCCCACACCTGCGCGCACAGCTGCCCGGCAGGTGCACTGAGGCGACAGCGGCCGGGAAACCGCGCCGGGGGCCGGGCCTCGCGCTGCCCGGAGCCCGCCCCTCCGGTGCCCCGCCGGCCCCGCCCCGCTGCCCGGGCTCCGCGGCCCGGGCGGCGTCAACCCCGACCCCCGGGAGCCCTCAGTGGCTCCGGAGCTCCGGCCCGGGGCCCTCGTCACCTCATGAGGTAGTCCCGAAAGTCCTTGCTCCGGACATAGTCCGCCGCTTTCCGCACCAGCGCGCCCGCCATGGCCGTGCCCGACGCCAGACACCCCGCAGTGTCCCGGCCGCCGCTCCTCGGAGCGCAATGACACCCGGCCCAGCGGACAGCTGGAACCCCGCAGCCGCCCGCGGGCCCGCGTCACGACAGCCGGCTCCGCCTTACGGCCGCGCCGCGCCGCCCGGCGCTCGGCCTATGGGGGGGCGCGGGGCGGGAGGCGGCGGCGCGGATTGGCTGGGGCGCGCTGCCGTAAAACGCCCGGGGGCGGCCGGGGATTGGCTGGCACTGGCGCAGCCAGGCTGCCGCAGTCCCGGCGCGGAGGTGACGGGCTGGTGGCGGCCGCCGGGGCGTCTGGCCCGAGTCCCGGCAAGGGCACCTTGGCGGGGCCGGGTGCGCCCGGAGGGCCCGCGTGGGCGGCCCGCAGCGGCGCGGGGTGCGCTGGGGCCCGCCCTGTCGGGGAGGCAGGACAGGAGGCTCCGGTTGTTTAGGTCTCTTTTTTAATTGTCCCCCGCCTTTTTTAATCGTTGAGGTTTGGGAGGCGGGGGAGGGGTGGAGAGAGCTGTGGAGGCCGACGATCCAAAGCGGCTGTGCTGCCTGTGCTGCGAGCCGCGGAGAGCCTGATGCGGGGCGAGAATTCACGGACGTGACAACGTGGCCTGAGCCGAAACGGATTGCCTAACCCGCTGGGCCATCCAGGCGCCGCGGTCTTTAAAATCTTCTGGAAGGGCCCCAGATGAGGACCGTCGGCCCTCGCCGCGCCTTTGGGGAAGGTGCAGGGCACGGGGGCGGCGGGCCGGTCCTGGCAGGAGCCTGACTAAATTGCATGTAAACACTGCGGTGGGCGGTGGGCGGTGGGCGGGGTGGATTGACATGGGCCGTGGACACGCACTTTGACCCTGCCAGCCCCGCCCCAGCGGTCCCCCCCCGCCCCGACAGGCACGCTTGTGCAATTTCAGATGAACAGTATTATTTTTAGTGTGTCCACCCACAGGGAGAGTGAAATCACGCTGCATCCATTCCACTGAACAGTGTACAGCAGCTTGAAAGAGGAGGGTGCTCCCCATATGCCGGTGTGGAAAGATCTCTGAACTGTTTTAAGAAAAACCAAGGCGCAGAATCGTGTGTGAAGTGTGCTTAGGGACACTTCTGTGCATAGGGACAGAGAAAAATCTATACATTTGTTTCCAAAGAGAAAAGGGACACGTTCGCAGGGGCTGCCTCAAAAGATGTCTAAGTGCAGAGGGCTGGAGGGAAACTACCTTTTCACTGTATATTTTTTATTCCTATTGAAATTTGTAGGATAAACATGCTATCCAAAGTAAATAACATTAGGGGCGCTTGGTGGTTTGGTCATTTAAGCCTCTGACTCTTGATTTCAGCTCAGGTCATGGTGTCAGGTTGGTGAGATTGAGCCCCGCATCAGGCACTGTGCTGACAGAGTGCGGAGCCTGCTTGGGATTCTTTCTCCCTCGCTCTATGCCCCTCCCCCACTCTCTCTCAAAAAAAATTATGTATTTATTTTTTTTTAAAGAAAAGAAATGCCTCTGAGAAGTAAATAGCAAGGCTTTGACTGATTAAGATTCATTTTCTGTTCCAGATCGCCCTGGGTCACACCTGACCTTGATCTTATTTGAAAGTCGTCTGAATAGGCAACACTGTGGTCCCAGAATAACACGGGAAGGTGGGTTATGTTCACGTGGTGCTTCAAGGTGGAGGCACGGATGAATGAGCTGAGAAGAAACAAGGGGGGCTTGATTATTAATAGTACTGTTATTATTAGCCTTGAAAAGAAAACTGGGGGCCCAGGCAGAGTCACGTGCCTCCATCCTGCACACCAAGCCTTAATTGCAGTTTCAAACTTTCCAGGAGTCGAATTGAAGCCAGTCAGTCTGGAATTTTCTGGGCAGTATCAGTGAGGTAATATGTTACTTGGGGCCTCTGCATCCACCTCTGCCCCCAAAGTAGATGAGGTAGTCTGCAGGATGAGACCCCTTGCCCTTCCCAAGGTGACCTTGCCTGAAACAGTCTTTTCTTTTGCAAATAACTTTCTGCCCCACCCTCTTTCCTATAAAAACCTTCCATTTCCTACAACTCCTTGGAGCACCTCTCTTCTGGCCAGATGGACCACTGCCTGATTCATGAGTCCCTTAATAAAGCCAAGTAGATATTTAACATTTATTCCTTGAATTTTGTTTTTTAATGATAGCTACTATTTGTGAACCATTAGGCACTTTTCATACATTAGTGTTCTTACAACCCAGAAGGGGTGGGGAGTGGGGAGTAAGGAAACGGATTGACTTCTTGAATAAAACCAAACTGCTTCTGCAGAGTTAATGGGGAAGGGTCCCTCCCTAGTACCCAATGTCAGAAGGGACTCCTGGGTCTCACCGTGGCTCCGTCTTATCCCCTAGTATTTTTCTTTTCTTCATGAGCAGTGGATCAGAGGACTCCTCTGCAGGTTATTAGGGCCTCTAGCGTAGAGCTGCAGGAGCTCAGGAGATCTGGAGCGGGCCCCCGAAAGCTGGTCAGAGAAACACTACTGAGGGCGCCTGTACCCCATTACCAGTGTGTCACCACCAGGCCGGCTTCTGAACATTCTGCTCTCCACAGTTGGATCTCAGAGCCTCCTCTTAATTTCCCGTTTCATGGAAGGTGGGAGCTGGAGCATCTAGTTAAAGGGATTTATAAAAGGAACACTGTTCTGCTAAGTAGCAGCTTGCCTGAGATCTGAATCCAGTTCTGTTTTCCTCTGAGAGCCATGCTCTCCTCACTTAATGTCACGTAGCCACAATTGGAAGGACTTCTTCCATGTTAATACGCATCTTTCCTGCTTTAAACATGGAGCAGGTGATATGGTCTAATGCATGAGAACATAGTGGGCAAGAGACCCAGCTACACTATTTCATAAAACTCTGGAAAGGCCTAGAAGCCTTACACGGTCCCTACATGGACAGAGAATGGAAGGTAAAAACGCACACTTCGCCAGCCTGAGTCCCGGTTTCCACAAGAGACGCGAAGGCCTAGCATCAGAGCCAGAACCTCACATGCCCAGAATCCTCAAAGGTCAGAAGTGACAGTCACACACGGGGCTTCCCTGTCCGCTGTCAGGACCCAGATCTGTGAGCTCAGACAGATCGAAGTTGGGGGGTGGAGGGCTGACCCTTAGAGGGCCCCCAGCGGGCCGGTGCTGTGTACGCGGTTCGTGTTCATCATGTCAGGGCAGTGCTTGTGTGTGTGAGGGGGGGGGGGGGTCCAGTGGGCGGTCCCGGCAGGCGGGTCTGCGATGCCTCCCACGGTAGAAGCAATCTTCTATATGGTAGTAAACTCACTATATGTTTTCACCTATCATAACAAGGAAAAGAGGAGACAGAGGGGTCTGCTTGTGAACCACCACACTCAGTCACACAGGTTTGCTCCTGGAAATGCGGATAACGGTGACATGCTGTCCTTCTGGGACGGCTGTGGTGATGGCAAGAGGTCATTTCCGAGGAGCACTTAGTGGGTGAGTGTTCTATAAACACAGATGTGTGATGGGGCACCGGGGGGCTCGGTCTGTCAGGCACCCGACTCTTGATTTCGGCTCAGGTCATGGTCTCACGGTTCATGGGGTTGAGTCCGTGTCGGGCTCTGTGCTGACCTTGCAGAGCCTGCTTGGGATTCTCTCCCCTCCCTAAGGAATATGGGGGGGAACCCTCAAAATCAGGGAGGGCAACCTGGCTATAGGCACGTGTAACGTCCCTCACGACCCTGTAACATGAGGCTGTGCAATCAGACCACATGCCTGTGTGTTACCCTGTGTGGGAGACATACAACTAAAACATTTATACAAAACTACACCTCGCTGTGCTCGGGGATCAGGTTTTCAGGCACGAACCCAACTGAGCGGTGCCGGCACGAATAAAGTTGCTTCCTGGAAAGAAAAGTCACTGCTCTCTGTGCGAACCCCGGTTCCCATTACGTGCTCGCTCGCTCGCTCTCTCTCTCTCTCTCTCTCTCTCTGCCCCTGCCCTCCGTGCTGTCTCTGTTTCTCTCAAAATAAATAAACTTACACACACACACACACACACCCCCAGATGTGCTGTTACGTCCTGGTGCCCGACACCTGGCTTCCTTGGGCTCCAGCCAGGCAGCTCACATTAGTCTGATGGCTTTAGTGACTTAAGGAAGGCAGTAAATGAGTAAGCCAGGACCCCCGGGGGGGGCGGGCAGTGGGAGCCAGGGATGCAGAGGCCAGTGCACCGTTGGGAACATGAATGTGTAGTATCTTGCCTCCTTAGCTCTTCGGGTCCCGCCCGTAATTAATCCATTGCGCTGCCCCCGCGTACTGTTCTCATACTGAGGAGGGAGCGTGGGCCAAGCTGAGGGCCAAGTGCAGGCCAACACCCCCCCCCCCCGGTGGGATGTGTGTGTGGGGTTCCCGGGATACCCCCGGCCGCCCAGGAAGAGGGGAGAGGACAGAAAGCGGGTGGCTGACTGAGGGAGGTCACAGCCGTGCAGGACGCGAGTCTCCTTCAGTTTACGGAGAACTCAGTAAACTGCAAGACAAAAGCAGTTTTACCCAGAGCCTCTTCCCCAGAAACCTATAGACTCCGTTTCCTGGAGCCCTAATATCACCCTCGGCAAGATGGAAGGCAAGACGGAAGGGGGGCTAAGCGCCCGTCATGGTGATGGGGGAAACTGAGGCGAATGAAAGCTTAAATTCCCTGCTGCCTGCAGCCCACGGACGAGTCCTTGAAACAGGCAGAGGGACCTCCCGCTAGGAGCTCAGCTGCCTCGAAGAGGACCCTTTGCTGGGGCACAGGGGAGTCCTGGCCTCACATCACCCTGACCTGTGAGTCTCCTTAAACATGGAAAAATCCCTTTGGAAACTTCCTGTATCTCAGCTCCCTGGGCCACATGCGAGCGGTCCTGCCCCGAGCGTGGGGCCCCCCGTGGCCTTTGAAGGGTCTCACGACTGAGCTTTCACTAAACGGTAATAAGTGGTGTTTTCAAGGTCCTGGGAGCCTTGCTTCCAGAACTCCTTAGAGACTTACTCCATCCCTGACCCCCTCCCAACCTGAGGGTAAGTAACAAGTTACCCGCCGCCACCCCAGCGCCGCTCTTCCTGCCCCCGGGCTTTAACAAAATCACCTTTTTGCACCAAAGACGTCTTCACGAATTCTTCCTTGGCTGTGGCTCCGGACCCCCCCATCACCCCAAATCCCCACCGACACTGTTCCCACACAGGTCACATAGACATGGCCTCACGGGCAAGAAACCTTCACTTTGCTCGGCAATTCGGGAGTTTCCTAGAGATGAACGCACAGGACGAAGGGAAGAGAGACTCACTAGTTTGCGCCCTCGACTGAAAGGAGTGATTGTAGCCACAGCGATCGGTGGACCCCGAGCCCAACCCGAGAGGCGAGAGGGAACCGGGCCACACAGGTGCCCACCTGCGACCCGCGGCTTGCCCGCTGCCGCTCGTGGGGAAGGAAGGCGGCTCGCGTCCCGAGGACAGGAGCCCTCTCCCATCACTGCGTCCTCAGGGGCTTCGGGGGAGGAATGAAGCCGGTGGGGGGCGGGGCTTTCTTGGTCAAAGGAATTTAGGAAACGTTCGCATCCGGCAAGGCTAATTTTTTTCTGCAGCTCTTTTGAGAGCCTTTATTAAGCTCACGTGAGCCGTGATAGCATAAAAGTTTATTCCACGCAGCATTTACCAGATCTCCTCAACCACAGAGCCCTTTCAGAAGGAGCATCACATGGGCCTGGCGGTCCCGGGGTTCCAGGGGCCCTGGGCCCCGCCAGCCAGGGGTGCCGGGGGAAAATACCGGGTGAACAAATCCTGCCACTTTTCATTCAGCCGCCTGCCTCTGGCGAGTCTTTCAAACTGCCTGGGCCTCGGTGTTTAAATCTAGAACATGGAAACAATATCGCACCATAGAAGTTGTCGAGTTTCTGTGGGAACTGAAAGCGCTAATATCCATGCAGGGTCTACACTGCACCACACTATACGGACTCGACATACGGGCCCAGTGCAGCCTGAACGCACCCAGGCTCACCTGTGAGCCGCTTTCTTTTGCTGTGGCTGTTTGTTTCCCAGGCGGCGGGAGGCTGTGAGCGTTGTAGCGCCTGTAAGCCCCCAAGTTACTTAGTGCCTCTGAGGACACAGGGCCGAGCTGTCATCCTGCTTATTTCTGCCCGTGGAGGAAGGTCGGAGGATTCCGGCTTCTGTCGCACGATGGCTCGGCTCTGAGTGCGGTGAACACACGTTCCTCTGCGAGAAAGGACGGCGGCTGCCTCCACTTTGACGTCAAACCTCCCCGTGGGTTCTTCTTTCTGGCGGGTCTCTTGGCTCGGGGGGGGGGGGGGGGGGGAGGAGGGCGAGGGCAAAGCATCTCCTGAAGGAACCGAAACTACCCCCTCAAGCGTAAGGACCACGCTGAGCCAGGAAGACCAGCCCGGGATCGCTCGGACACAGGGATGCATGTGACCGTCACTGCCCATCTGCACAGACCCACCTTTGCCCCACATTCTCCTTGTCTGCACCTGCAAGTATTTTCAGCACCTTGGAGACCGTCTCTGAGATGCCAGCCCCCCCCCCCCCAAGCTGGCTGAAATGATACCTTTACGAGCACTTAGGGGTTGTGTGGGTAGAACAGGCAGCGCTGCGGAGGCCTCCCAGTGACTAACACAGAAGGCGCACGAATGGCCAATAAGCTCATGAAAAGATGCTCCACATGATTAGCCGTCAGGGAAACGAGACACCACTTCGCACTCTACACAAGGGCTCAGTGAAGAATCTGGAACACAGCAGGGGTCGGCGAGGATGTAGAGGAACATTTGCTGCCGCTGGGGGTGCAAAGTGGCTTGACCGCCTTGGAAAGCAGCCTGGTGGCCCTCCCGGTGGTCGAACAGGGCTGCCACGCTGCTGGCAAGCCCCCCGCCAGACAGACGCCCAAGGGAACCGAAAACATAGGTCCACACGGCGCTCGTATCCGAAATGCTCACGCAGCACTAGTGTCCACCGCTCTGAGCAACATTGTAAATAACAGCCAAAAAGTGAAATCGACCCAAGTGTTGGATCAACTGGGGAATAGATAGCGTGTGGAATAACCACATGATGGACTCTGACTCAGCAAGAAAAGGAAATGAAGCTCTGGCACGTGCCATGACACGGATACATCTAGCAAGCATGGTGTGGGCGAGGGGTCAGGCACACCGGCCGCGTGGTCTGAGCCCCCGGGGGTGACCCGCGCCCAGTGGGCTCCCCAGGGAGACGGAAAAGAGGCTGGTGGCTGCCCGGGGCTGTGAGGGTTGGGGCAGGCTACGCGCTCGGGTGGAGACTGTCCAATGTTGGTTGTGTGGACAGTGTGATAACTGTGGAGGCGCTAAAAGCCACTGAACTGTAGACTTTAAGGCGGGAAATTGCACGTGTGAAGTGTAACCCAGTAAAGTTATTTTTTAAAACTTAACAGTAGGGGCGCCCGGGTGGCTCAGTGGTTGAGCGTCTGACTTCGGCTCAGGTCATGATCTTGAGGTCTGTGGGTTCGAGCCCCGTGTCGGGCTCTGTGCTGACGGCTCAGAGCCTGGAGCCTGTTTCAGATTCTGTGTGTGTCTCTCTCTGCCCCTCCCCCACTCACGTTCTGTCGCTCTGTCTCCCTCTCTCTCTCTCTCTGTCTCTTTCTCTCAAAAATAAACATTAAAAAAATAAAGAAAAAACTTAACAGTAAAAACAAACAAAAACTTTACAAAATGCACAGAAATATAAAAACCCGAAACTCCTTGGCCATAGCGTGCCAACTCTTTCGGTAAATAAAGGAAAAGAAGCATTTACCTTATAAACCAGCTCAGATAGGCCTAGTGCTGCAGGAAAGCTCCTGTTCTCAGAAGTTCAGCTAATATATATGAAGAATGGTAGAATTAAAAGAACACCCGTTTGCAATCCCTCTAGCAGTGACGGATTCAGACAGAAATCAGCACAGAACTCTACATCGGAGCCGGTCTTCACGGGGATTATTCGCTGTCTGAAAGGGGAAATGCAAGTTTAAAAGGGGGATCCAGGAGATTCTACTTAACATCATCACCAGAAGGACAGACGGAACTTAGTGCCCCCCACCCCCCGCACCCCCGCGTGATGCGTCCCAGCGGCTGGCGGAGAGACCACCGCATCTGGGACCTGAATCCAATCAAGCCTGGAAATGAAAGGATTGAACAAGTAATCCAGGGACACTCTCAGGAAGTAATCAAACGTGTCCAGCAGGTGCAACATTTAAAAGGACCACGGGGCAACGGAGTCCCTCTCCCACGCGGCCCCAGCATGAGGAAAAAGGAGCTCGAAATATAACCGGAGCCACGCGCAGGACTTGAAGTTTTTCCTGACTGCATTCAAACCATAAAAAGAAATAGGTGGGGTTAATTTTAGTGATATGGTCCAGCCCCCTCTATCCAAAATATTATTTTAATATGTAATCAGTATAAAATTATCATTGAAATATTTTATTTTCATACGAAGTTATCAAAGTCTGGTATGTATTTTACACTTATGATTCATTTCAATTCAGATGTTTTCTTTTTTAAATTAATTTTTTTAGAAATCTCTATACCCAACATGGGGCTTGAACCCACGACCCTTAGATCAAGAGCCACACGCTCCTCTGACTAAGCCAGCCAGTCACCCCCAGGTGCTAAATTTTCACTAGCAATATTTTTTAAATTTTTAAAAATCTTTGTTTATTTTTGAGAGACACACAGAGTGTGCATGTGGGGGAGGGGGCAGGTAGAGAGCGAGGGAGACACAGAAATTGAAGCAGGCTCCAGGCTCCGAGATGTCAGCACAGAGCCCAACGCGGGGCTTGAACTCACAAACTGTGTGTGAGATCATGACCTGAGCCAAAGTCGGGGGCTCAACTGACTGAGCCACCCAGGCACCCCTCATTAGCAATATTTGCTCTGTATTTAAATTTCATGGAATTTATAGTTTAAAAATTATATTTACGTAACCAAGTTATTTCAAACATACTGAAAAAGTTTCCAAAACTGAATTGAGTAACCCCTAAAATAATTTTTCTTTAACATCTGTGTTCACATTGGATAATACTAGTTCACCTTTTTAAGAAGAATTTACCTTGAAACGAAAGCATATCAGCTACAAAATACATCAGCTCAAGGTAGGAAAACTGACCTATTCCTGTTTTCAGCTTGGTTGTGTTAGTACTGAATTCAAATGTCAGTTATTGCGTAAACTGAGAAGCAACCCCTTAGTTCTGGGGTAGCGTTTGCTGCAAATTCACATAATGCTGTAAATTACCCTTAAACATTCTGCCTATTTACTCATATTAGAAAAATTCATAAAATCAAAAAAAAGAAAATTTTGTAAAATCAGTATATTGATTTGTGCTCCAAAGATTTTGATTGCAAATAGTTTCCTACCTGCCTAGCACAGTGACCAATAAGCTCTTTTTTCATTTTTTTCCCCCAAAGATTTTATTTTTCAGCAATCTCTATACCTGATATGGGACCCGAACTCACCACCCTGAGATCAAGGGTCTCATGCTCCGCCTGCTGAGCCAGACAGGTGCCCCCCAATCAGCTCTGACATGACCTTTTTAAGCTTCCCATTGAGCTCTTCTGTGTGCACTCCGATATCGATGAGAAAACATAAATCCCAACGCCATTTGTTGTCTTTGATTATTGAATATTTGGCAACATTCTCTTTATTTCAGGAAAGTCTTTTTTTATTTATTTATTTATTTATTTATTTATTTATTTTTTATTTATTTCCAGGAGAGAGAGAGACAGCGTGAGCAGGGGAGGGTCAGAGAGAGAGGGAGTCACAGACTGAAACAGGCTCCAGGCTCCGAGCTGGCAGTCAGCACAGAGCCCGACGCGGGGCTCGAACCCACGAACTGCGAGATCGGAGATCGTGACCTAAGCGAAAGTCGGACGCTTAACCGACTAAGCCACCCAGGCGCCCCAAGGAAAGTCTTTTTTTAATTAATTATTATTTTAGAGAGAGACAGACACACAGAGAGCATGATCGGGGGGAGAGGGGCAGAGGGAGAGAGAGAGAAGTGGGCTTTATGCTCAGCACGGAGCCTGATGTGAGGCTCCATCCCACGACCTTGGGATCATGACCTGAGCCAAAATCAAGAGTCAAATGCGCAACGGACTCAAAGGCCCAGCTGCCGCTGAAGAAGCTCTCCGCCCTCCGGCGAAGGACTCTTCCGTGACTCAGGCCACCAGCACTGGCAGACGCATTTCTGTTCCTTGTCCTTTTCTTCCTTTCAAGCGTCCATGATACTGACGATGCCTCAGTGCATTTGCACATGTTTACAGAACAATTTAGAAACTCTCTGTGACATTCTTCACGGTGTCTGCTTCGGAAACGTGAGTACGGACATTTCCACCATGTATCACATAGCAAATACAGCAATAACAGGAGCCTCAGGGTGTCCTTTTAAAAGTCCAGCAAAGCCCAGTCTCCAGCTAACGTGGCCACGGCACCGTCTGTTGTGACAGAAATCGGTTCGTCCGCCTCTAGCTGACACTCAAGACTCAAAAATACCCTGTCCCTGGGTTTATTTTTCAGACCACGAATTGACAACGTCTGTTCCTATGTTTGAAATTGTTATGTGTTTCATATCTTGTTCCCTACCGGGGTTGCTCAGGTGTGTTTTAGATCAGCTCATTAGGTATTACCTTTTTTAACCTAAATGATGTTCCGTGGGGGCTCCTGGGGGGCTCAGCCGGTTGAGCGTCCGACTTCAGCTCAGGTCGTGATCTCACGGTTCGTGGGTTCGAGCCCCGCGTCGGGCTCTGTGCTGACAGCCAGCTCGGAGCCTGGAGCCTGTTTCAGATTCTGTCTCCCTCTCTCTCTGCCCCTCCCCCGCTTGCTTTCTCCCTCTCCCTCTCTCTCTCTCTCTCTCTCAACTAAACACATATTTAAAAAGAAAAATGAGGTTGCAGCAGCGGAAGATTCTGTGTCCATCGCTGACACGTAAGGCTGGCTTGGCACTCTCGTCGTGAGTGTGACCTGCCTGTACCACGGACCGCGGTTCCCTCCCCTGCTGTCCGCGCGGGGCCGGTGCTGAGTTTCCCCAGGACACCTGACGGGGTCTCTCCTCTGACGCCCCCTGAACGTCCCCTCCTGGTCGCGGCCAGGGGTCCCCTCTTCTTTTCCCTGCGTGGCCCCAGCCAGCTCCGCGAGCTTCCCACGGCGGCGCCTCTTGTCAGCCTGGAGCTGGGGGTGGGGAACGTGGATTCCAGGGGCTCTGCCTGGACTTCAGCTGACACGTTCTTTTTTTTTTTTTTTTAATGTTTTATTATTTTTGAGGGGGAGGGAGAGGGGCAGAGAGAGAGAGGGAGACACAGACTCCCAAGCAGGCTCCAGGCTCCGAGCTGTCAGCACAGAGCCCCATGCGGGGGTTGAACTCATGAACTGCAATATCATGACCTGAGCTGAAGTCAAATGCTCAACCGACTGAGCCCCCCAGGCCCCCCTAGCTGACACATTTTTTCTTTTCTTTTCTTTTTATACTTTTTTATTATGTTTATTTATTTTGAGAGAGAGAGACGGAGAGAGACAGAGTGCGAGTGGGGGAGGGCCAGAGAGAGAGGGAGACAGAATCCGAAGCGGCTCCAGGCTCCGAGCTGTCAGCACGGAGCTCGAGTGTGAGATGAGTGTGAGATCACGACCAGAGGCGGAGTCGAACGCTCCACCGACTGAGCCCCCCAGGCGCCCTCAGCCGACACAGTTGTAACCGTGATCTCGGTGCCGGGGGTGCACACGGCCGGGGAGTGTGGCACCGCTGACCTGAATCCCCTGGGAGGGCCACCGTCACACAGATGAGTCGAAGCCTGTTTGCTTGGCCTCAGAGCCACGGCCACGTGGGCAGCCCTTCTGAAAGCTACTATTTGGTCTGTCCCTTCCCTCTCCGTGGCCTCGGCCCGCCCTCGGTGGAGACGCAGGCTGACCCGGTTCCCTGCGGTCAGACCCAGTGCCGCCGGGCGGTTAACACCTGTCCTGGCAGCAGCTGCTCTCAGGAGCCGGGGCGGGGTTCCGCCTGGTGAAGGGCCCTGACCTGTCCTCACAGCGATCCGGGAGGCCCAGGCTAGAATCCGAGGCCCTGGCTCCACGCAGCGCAGGTCCCTTGTGTTGAAATTGTTTCCCAGTGACTTGGGGAGGCTGGGGGGTGGGGGGAAGGGAAGTGTTTCTAAGGGAGACGCAGCTCTGACCTCAAGGGTGGGCCCCCATCCCTGTGCGGCTCCCCACTCTGCTGCCAGCACGGCCCGTGTCCCGGAGATGTCACGTATGGTGCCTGGGGTTCAGGCAAACACCCCCGGGGACTCTGCCCTGATCGCGTGCCAGCAGCAGAGACGGGAGGGGGGGGCGGGGAGAACAGACGGTGGGGGGGCAGATGGAGCAGACTGCCGAGAGGGGGGCCGGGAGGCGACGGGCCAGGGCACAGCTGGCCGGGGCTCCATCTGTCCCGCTCACGGCCGGGGTGGCTGGCGTCTGGCGCAGGTGTGTTGGGTGAGCAGGGGCCCGGCCCCCCGGCACCTCCCGGTGACCTTGGGGTGGTTCCCCCGGACCCACTGGGGGTTACGGGGTCACAGACACGTCCTGTTCTCTGCAGCAGCAGCAGCACCGGCGGGCGACCTCCGGCCCGAACACATCGAAAACGCACAAACTGTTTCTGACACAGAAACTCCCAGCCAAGGGGTGCGAGGGGCTGAGGGTTCGTGTCCCCTCAAGTCCACATTCTGAAGCCCGACCCCGCGACATGAGGTATTTGGAGGGGGGGCCTTTGGACGTGATTAGGTTGAAGTGAGGCTGTGGAGGTGGAGCCCTTAAAGGAAGATACCGGAACTTTCTGTGAGCCAGGAAGCAGGTCCCCCGCACAGGGAAGTGCTGGCACCCTGAGGCCGGACTTCTCGGCTCCCGAACATGAGGAACGAAGGCCCCTGCGTCGCCCCCCCCCCCGCCCCCGGTCAGGGGCTGTGTTAGGGCCTAGCTGTGGCCCACGCCCGGGTTCTCGAGTCCTGAGGTGCTGGCGTCCCGTCGGGACGGCGACTGAGGGGCGGTCAGGGCACCGGCCACCGCGGCGGGAAGGGGCCGCAGAGCTGCTTCCTGGGTGCCCGGGACTCACAGCAGGCGGTCCCTTCCCCCGCCGTGCGGGCGGCCCTGCGGCGCTGTCTCCCGGGGGCCGCACATGTGCCCCACCTGACCCGTCAGAGGCCCGCGGGCGTCGCCCTCCAGGACCGCAGCTGATGGGCAAGGGCACGGGCTCTTGCTGCCCGGCAGAGCGTCTGCTGTCCAGCACGGGAGCCCGAGCCTCACGCGGCTGTGGGGCCCTTGAAATGTGGCCGTTGCGGCCACAGAACTGGTTTGGATTGTATTTCAAGGTTAAATGAAGTACAGGGGCGGCTGCTCTGGGACCGCACCGCACAAGCCTTGGTGGGGTGGGCCTGGAGGCCACGGACACGTACTGGCCAAGGTCACGGCGGGGGGGTCTTTGGAGAGGGTTTTGAGCCTTAGCGCAGCAGGAGGACCAGTCGGAGTGCAGGCCGCAGCCTCAGGCATCGTGTGTGTGACCTGTCAGGATGTGGTGACCATGAACTTGACAGGCGGGCGGGAGAGAGGCTTTGGCCCAAAGGATCCCTGGATTTATCCCCGGGAAAGGCTGTGTAGGGAGGGGTTTCAGGTGAGTTCAGGAACCGGAAGAGCCAAGTTTGGGTTCGGAGCTGACGTGCGCCCTCTGGTGGCGGCTTGTGACAGCAGGATGGCAGTGAGGTTTGCGAAGAAGAAATGGACTAATGTGATCAACCCGCCCCGTCAATGAGGCCACCTAACCCACCTGAGGACGCCAGGCTCTATTTATAACGTCTTGTGCCCCTCCCCCCCAGCTCAATACCTTATTTGTTCATTTGCAAATAATTTTTTCTGCCAGGCACTGTGCTGGGCTCAGAATAGAAAGAACACAGCCCATGGGGCGCCTGGGGGGCTCAGTAGGTTAAGCACGTGACTCTTGGTTTCGGCTCAGGTCATGGTCTCACGGTTCGTGGGTTCAGGCCACGCATCAAGCCCCACACTGACAGTGCAGAGTGTGCTTAGGATTCTGTGTCTCCCTCTCTCTCTGCCCCTCCCCTGCTCTCTCTCTTCCTCAAGAAAAGAAAGGAAAGGAAAGGAAGCAAAGAAATGACAAAAACAAACAAACAAACAAAAAAAAAACTAAAAAGAGAGAGAACATACCGTCAGCAGTGTTCCAAGCAGGGGGGAAGCCAAGTTCCCTGCGATGTCTTCCTCACCGTAGTAGAGACTCTCTGAGAAGCAACAGGGGCAAGGCAGGTTATATGGACGTGGTGCCTGGGCTGGTGTGGAAACGATCTGGCACGCTTTTGTTTGCCGAACAGGCCCTGACAATGTTGAGAAACACTTGTGACCAAAATTGCACTCACAGTTGCCTACAGGGTGGCACCAAGTAGTTGAGCAGGAGGTGAGTGGATACAAATAGTTACAATGAAAGCGAGTCTGAGGTCCGTTACAGCGTGGCGCTGCCTGGGCCCCTGTGGGCACTGGATGGCGTGTATAGACTTGGTGTGACTGTATCCGGCAGGGACGCCCGCCAAACTGCCCCTTCGTTTTCTCCAAGGGAAACACAGTCTTACTGAATCAGAATTCTCCAGGAAACAGACACAATAGGAGACACATTTCTGTTTCTAGCTACATAGGGATACCTCTATATCTGTCCTCTATTTATCTATTATCTACATGTCTACCATTTATCTGTCTGTATCTATCTACTATCATCTGTCATCTATCTATCTATCTATCTATCTATCTATCTATCTATCTATCTATCTTTCCATCCACCCATCCATCCATCCATCCATCCATGGAGAGGGAGGGACATTTATTTTAAGGACCTGGCTCACAGCATCGCGGGGACCAGCACATCTGACGCACCCAGAACGAGCCGGCGGGCTCGGGACGCAGGTAAGGAGCGGTGTTACAGTCTGAGTCTGACGGTCAGAGGCTCGGGCAGCGTTTGCATGTCACAGTCTTGAGGAGAATTCCCTTTTCTTTGGGAAACCTTGGTCCGTGCTCTCAAGCTCTTCATCTGCTTGGTGGAAGCCGGGCGTTACGCTCTGCTTTTCTTAAAGTCAACTGACTGTGCATGTTAATCACACCTAAAATCGCCTTCATGGTGACAGCTGGGCTAGAGTTTGAGCAGATTTTCGTGGGGTCCTGGAAGGGCTGGAGGAACGGCAGGTGCAGGGGATGTGGGAGCCCTCTGGCTTCATCTAGAACGTCAGGAGCGGCCGCTCGTCAGGTGCTGAGGCCGAAATTCATCATTTTGTCATGAGTCATCCCAAGAAGCTAGACCATCGCTACTGTTCACATCAAAGCCTGTTGATGGAGTTCTCTGCGGGTTTCAATGTCTGGATCTCTACGAGGTCTCAGTGGGGACACTCCGTAGCCCAGTTACAAATGTTGTCGCAAAACTCAAGGCTCTAAAAATGTGACTTAAATTTAGGTTAAGAGCCTAATTCTTAATTTCTCCTTAAAAAAATCTCTTCCTCAATCTGAATACTTACTTTTCCACCTGCTATTTAGGGCGAACACCCAAACCTGATTGTTCTAGTTTTTGAGTCTGTAGTTTTAAATGATAAAGAAGCCAAGTCTGGGCACAGCACGGCGAATGCAGTGGGTGGCAGTGTGACAGCGTGTGTGGGGAGCATAGAGAGTCCTCGGGGCGCCCACAGGGAGCACGGAGAGAGCCCACAGGCTCGCCCAGACACCGTGCTGTCCACTGTAACCTAGGCAGCACCGAGCGTAGACTGAACTGCAGTAAACAAGAAGCCAGGTTTGAAGCCTGTGCTTGGATGTATCTCCATTTGACCCCAGTTTGCAAATTTGCAATCTCTCCTCCTTTCCAAAGCGGAACCCCAGGATGGCTGAGCTCAGGGGCAGACGGGTGTCCCGTTCCTGCGGACAAACGTGAGGATAAGTCCTGTGGGAAAAACTACTGAGTGGCTCAGTCGGTTAAGTGTCCGACTTAAGCTCAGGTCATGATCTCTCAGTCCGTGGGTTCGAGCCCCGTGTCGGACTCTGTGCTTACGGCTCGGAGCCTGGAGCCTGCTTCAGATTCTGTGTCTCCCTCTTTCTCTGCAACCTCCCCCTTCACTCTCTGTCTCTCAAAATAAAATAAAGACATAAAAAAAAGTTTAAAAACCACTGATGTAATAATGGGAACTGAGCTCCCCTGAGCTGAAACCGCAGCTGTCACAGAGAACATGGGGCGTCCCTGCCCGAGCTCAGGTGTGATTCACAACATGTGGGAGACTGTTCCCATGACAGATATTTGCTGATGTTTTTCTTTTCTTATTATTTTTATTTTTGAGAGAGAGAGAGAGAGAGAAGAGACAGAACATGAGTGGGGGAGGGGTAGACACACACACACACACACACACACACACACACACACACACACACACACACAATCCAAACCAGGCTCCAGGCTCCAAGCTGTCAGCACAGACAATGTGGGGCTCGAACTCACGAACTGAGAGATCATGACCTGAGCCAAAGTCGGACGCTTAACCGACTGAGCCCCCCAGGAGCCCCTGATTTGCTGTTTCTCATCATAGTAAAGTGACAAACCTAAACTCAGATCTGACATACGTCAGGGATGAGTGCTTTTGATCTTAGGTCCTGAGTTCTCGCCATTCACAGGGAATGCACTACATAAACTACGAAGCTCATAAGCTGTGGCTGAAAGGCTGGTAACATCTGTCTCTGCGCGGAGCTGGCAAACCTCAGGGATTGATTTGCGCCGTGAATCCCCTTCCTACCTGGAGTAGCAGCCCCTCCCTCCAGTCTGCGTCCCTTTGCTCGTGCTGGGAGCCTGCTGCGGGTACTGCCTCCCGTGTGCTTTCTCTCGCCCTCTGCGAGGGCACTGCCTTCACCAGAGGGCTCTGCTTTGCTGGCCAGCCCTTCTCAACGCCGGGGTTTCTCAGGTCCGGTGCCCGGCGGTGACTTAGCCGGTTGTGCGTGCCATTCTCCGTCACCACAGGGGGCCCGGGGGCAAGGGGAAGGGCGCGCGCCTGGGGCCACGCTGTCTGCTGCGTGCGGGCTCTGACCCCGAGTCTCGGTCCTTCGTCAGCGCACCAGAGACCGTGCCAGCTGACTAGTCCGCAGAGCCTCCAGAATGTCACCGTTCTTGACGCGCCACCTCCCTCCCAAACACACACGCCGGCTGAAGACTGCAGCTCGGACACTCACTCTGTGTGGTGTGGTGGCCGGGATGCCGGGGACTCAGAGGACGTGTCCTGGTCCCCAGGACCCATGAGCGTGTCAGCCAAGTAGAGGTGGACCCAGGCTGCTCATCAGCTGGGCCCCCAGGCCGCCTGCCTTGCTGTGCACACAACCATGTGCTTGTCCGGCCGGGGCCCGTCCCTTCCTGCGGCCAGGCTCCGTGTGGAGTGTGTGTGTGTGTGTGCACATGTCCTGATGGACACCACATGCACACACATGTTCCTATGCACACACGTGTCCTGATGGACACTACCCATACACATGCACAAACACACATGTCCCAATGGACACTATGCTCACACACACACACACACACGTCCTGATGGATACCATGCACACACATGCACACATACATGCACACATGTGTCCCTATGGACACCACACACACACCTGCTTGTATAAGGCACACATAAACACACAATACACTCAGGCACACGTACACACACGCTACACAGACCACGTATAGATACACACACGTGCATGCCTCCACCACACATACGTGTACCCAACCACGCACACCCCACACAGTGCCCCTGCACACGCAATCACATGCAAGCCACACGCGCACGTGGAAGCACCTGCGTGCCCCCCGCCGGCTCTCTGCGTGGACCGGACGGCCACCCTGCCTGCCTCCCCTGTGAGGACGCCACCCCCAGTGCGGGGGCCGCAGCCAGAGACAGAGCGAGGGGACCGCAGGGGCGACGAGCTCATCTGCCGACAGTCACTGGGAACAACACAAAGTCCAGAAAGTACTCTTCTCCTAGAAAAACATTACACTTCATAAAACTCATGTTTATTCAAAAAAATCTATTCAGAAAGTCTGGAAAGCGTAATAAATATCTGTAGAGTGGCCGCCCGTCTCAAACGTAAAAGTACAAAGCGTGAACATGAGAATGGCCTGTACACACCCTCCGGGCTTGTAAACAAAGTGCCGAGTCGGGGGTGGGGTGGGGAGCGTGCTCCTGTCCTCCGGTGACCCCGGGCTCTGCGAAGCCACCTGCTCCTCGCCGCGGGGACCTGCGGCGCCCTTCTGTTCTGGAACTTTAAGGACTCTTGCAGAGGTGAAGGGCAACAGAGCCGCTTGGAGCGAAAGACCGAGTGCAGCTCAGGTCACCGTGTGCTGGAGGGACCCCATGAGGCGCGAGGCAAAAATCCCGACGTGCGGCTTTGGGAAGAACACCATTTAATGAACAACACTGGCCGACATGAAGTACTGTTATGACTTCCAACGCTGGACCCTCCTCCAAGCAGACACACACACACACACACACACACACACACACACACACAGAGTGAGATTAAGGTCACGGACAATCTGACCCAAGGATGCAGGGGACATCTCACTCTTGCCCGAATTTGTCTTAGGGGTGGCATCTGGCGGAGGCCTTGCAGTGGGTGGGTGGTGGAGGTGAGGGGGGTGAGTCAGGTGTTTCTGTCAAATGGGGGGGGGCCTCCAGGTGGGAGGAAACCGCAGCGGGCAGGGCCGCGGCGGCCGGCGAGGTTTTCTGACGACAAAGTCTGTGGTTTTGAGATCCAGAGAGGCTAGGACTCTACATTCCGGGGGCGGGGGGGGCGGCTGTTTCGTTCTGTGCGATCTCACCTCCTGTGCGAAGCCCGCGGAGCCGCCGTTATGGGCGGGGGGCGAACCGCACAGGGGACACGAGATCAAATACCTTCCTTCAGGTACGACTGCCGCTTGTAAACCACAGCCGCTGGCTGTTGACACAAGGCTCGGAAGTGAAGTTGAAAATATCACGTTGACTCCTCCAGGCTGACTTTCGGCCCGAGGGTTCAAGTGCCGCCTTGTTCTGGACAAGCTGAGCGAGCAGAGGCACGTGGCAGCCATTCAGGTAGCAGCTGAACAGGGCAGGCGCCCATCCGCTGTCTGCTCGGGGCACAGCCTGGGCGGGGTGAACCCGGGTCCCTCTGCGGCCCTCAGTGAGGACGGGGGGCCGTGTGCATGGCGGCCCTGAGAGGGAGGAGGCGCAGGAGCGGCCCCCCCTCCCGCTCCCCCTCGGGCCGCATCCATCACGCGACTCCCAGCGAGCGGACCAGCGAGCCGCAAACCTCGTGCAGCAGACAGGAGGCGTGATGACTCTGTCCCTTCCTGGAGGGCAGCCCTGCGACCTAAAGGTTTTTCCTAAGTTCCTAATAATCAATAACATGATTCAGACCTGAAACGAAACTATTGTGGGTCAAGTCTTTTTAGCCTTGGGGGAAGAGCGTTTCCTACTGGGAAAACAGGACAGATGTCTAATGAGGCTCACGTAGGTGAGCCTGTCCCCGCCCTGCGCGTCATGTGGTTTCGGAGGGAAAGAAGGGCTCACGGAATAATGGAAGCTTCTGCAACACCTTTACACGGGAAGGTGTGAAAACAATTGGACCAAGGTAAGTGGTCGCGTCCAGAACGCAGCACGGGCTCTTGCGTAGCCAGCTGAGATGGGGGGTGAAGGGAACCAGGAAATCCGCCTTCTGCGTGAGACCCGGCTGAGGACCCGGCCCCCCGACCCCGCGGGGACCCCGGGGAGTCCCGGGCCGGCCCAGGGGCACACACTCTCCCCTGCGGCCTGGGCGGTGGCGCCCAGCCTGTCCTGTTTTACTGACAAGAAACGCACACAGTGCTCAGCCCTGCGCTCAACTCCCCTCCCCGCCCGCCCCTGTGCACACGCACCCAAGGGGAACAGTAAATGTCACTGAAGAATGGAAACACAGACGCAACACAAAATCACGGCTTCCACAAAGTGCATGGCTGCCCCCCACCAGCCGGGCACCCCCGGTGCCCTCCCAGCCTCCTCCCTAGAGCTCAGGGCTGCCAGTGCTCGGGGAGCGGGGCAGGGGTCTCCCGTGGCCCAGAAAGGGAAAAACAGACGCAGAGGAACCACTGCTTTGGGAGAGCACGGGGGGCTGGTGGAGGGCCGCCGCCAGCCGTCGGGCCCAGAGCTCCCTCTCCAAAGCTCTGGGTGGGAGCGTGGACCCCAGCCCTGCAGCCCCGGCCGGCCAGCCAGCCCTGGGGGGACAAGGACACAGGCCGGTGTGGGGGGGCTCAGGCTGTAGCTGGCTCCTCCCCAGGGACACGTGCTGTTCTCGTGAAAAGAGGCCTCCAAGGCAGACACCGCTCGCCGGTTCTGGGCCAGGCTCTCCCCAATTCGGGTCTGCGACCCCGAGAGGTCGCCCAGCACCTCAGTCAGAAACGAGGGGGCGATGGGATGGGGGCTCTTTGGATCATCTGGAGGGGACCCGGCGCCTAGTCCTGGGTGCCACGTGCTGACCCATCCTTCTGGCGACAGGGGAAGCAGCCAGTGCGCCCTCTCGCGCTAATAACGAGGACGCAGGCGTCGGGATCCGGCCAAGTCACTGGCTCTATAATTGGAAAAAAAAAATATCTCTCTCTATAAATATAAGCCGTGATCGTAAAAGCCCTACAGGCGTTCAGCAGGGCGGTGAGCGGTGGGTGAAATGCGTCCGTCTGGCTTTGCTCGGGGCAAGGAGGCGGGAGGCTGGCGCGGTGAGGCTGGGGAGGCCATGGGTCCGGATCCGATCCAGGCTGAACGAGAGGACGTGGAATGCGCCGAGGCGCCCGGGCCCCGGGGCCGGGCTGGGGTCACTCCGGCAGCGCCCGTGACGGGAGTGGGCCGAGCGCTACAGCCTCGTGGACGTGAGTCTCTTCATGCCCCTGCGCTGAGCCAGGCTGGACGACAGCACCGGCTCCAGCCGCGGGGCCTGCGGAGTTCTGTTCAGGGCAAGGTAGGTGGCGGCCATGGCTCCCTGCAGGGAAGGGGAGAGGCCGGTGAGTGTGCTGCCTGCCACCCCTCCCGAGCGGGCCCCCGAGTCCCGGGGCCTCCCTGGGCCTGGCCCCCGCACGCACAGCGGGCAGCTAAGCCCTTCCGGTGGCCCCGGGGCGCGGGGTGCAGCGCTCCCACTGCAGTGAGCTTACACCAGGGCCTCGGGAATCACGTGTCCGTCCAGCCCCCACCCCAGCCCCAAGGGATGCCCATGGCGTGGTGTCCCCCAGACACGCACAGAGCCCCAGGACGGGGCCCGGGCCCCCTGCGCCGCGCCGCTGTCCCACACTCGCTGGACTTGAGAAGGGCTCGAGGGCCGACCCTGATGGCTGCGGGCGGTGGCCGCTGTCCTTCCCAGGGAGCTCCAGGCAGCCGCTGCCAAGCACGTGAGGCAGGACCCGCTTATTCTTGCGGTGTAGACTCCCCGGGCCTCTGGATGCCCCCTCAGGATGTGGGCGTGTCATGACCGAGGTGGCCGGAAGCCGCGGCCTTGCTAGTTAGGCATCCTGACGCGCAGCTTAGGGAGGCCGGACCCACAGTGGCACCGGGAGTCAGGAAAGGCACGGGTGGGATCGCGGGCCGCAGGGGTCCCCGGGGACACCAAGTAGAGGAGCGGCTCTTCTGTAGGTCAAACCCTGTGATCCCCGGGGGCAGACATGTCCCTGATGCCCTCTGCGTCCTGAGGCCGTTCCCTCTACGGCCCTGCGTCTCCTTCACGGCTGCTGGGTGCCGCCCGTGCGCCCGCTCGCGGAGGGCACCGCTGGACTCCGAGCTGCGGGCGCGGCGGGAAGTCCCTCAGGAGAGCGAGGGCACCAGCCTGGGGCCCTGCTCTCGCAGCTAAGCTTTTACTGAAACAGCTCGGCACCCATCCGCCCCCACGCCTTCTCTGGAGGTTCGGGGGCACGGCAGGAGACGGAGGCACGGTGACGGGGACATCTGACTCGAAAGCCTGAGATGCTTACAGTCTGGGCCCTTAGACACAAGTCTGCCGGCCTCTGATCTGGGATTGAGGGTTGGGGCACCCGGCGGCTCGGTCGGTTAAGCGTCCGACTCTTGGTTTCGGCTCACGATCTCAGGGTTCGTGGGATCGAGCCCCGCCTCTGGCTCTGTGCCGGCAGCGTGGAGCCTGCTTGGGATTCTCCCCCCCTCTCTCTGCCCCTCCCCTGCTCGTGTGCTCCCTCGCTCGCTCTCTCGCTCAAAATAAATAAACATAAAAAAAATCATTCGAATGGAGGGCTTTGGAAACTTGACCCCCTCCACCTCGCTCTCTCCCTCCTTCTCTCCCACTCTCCACTCCATCTGTCTGTCTGTCTCTCTCCCACTTTCTCTCCATCTCTCCTTCTCTCCCTCCATCTCTGTCTCATACGCACGTGGGTGTGCGTGCACACCCGCCCCCCTCCCCACAGTGAAGCGTTCAGGGTTGTTAACAGAAGTTGTAGCTCATTCAGAGTTTTGCATGTGGTGGCTCGAGAGTGAAGAAATGTGTGGAAGTAGATAAAGGAGGGATACGCGTGTGCGCCTGTGATCGGTTCCCTAGCTGGTCCCCACACTGTGACTTTTTGGGTTAACCGGGAGGCCTCAGGGTGACGCCTCTGCGTGCCCCCTCCCTGCCATCTTGTTCCCCTGACCAGCTGTCGGTACCTTCACCAAGTGGACGTCCTGTCGGCTGAGCTGGTTTTGGGACAGGTACTCTCTGTTCACGACCCATGGGTGTTTTAGAACTTGAACTGCCGTCAGGCGCTGGTGAGGGTCCACGTGCAGCATCTTGGATACGACGTCCTGTAAGGGCAGATGACAGAGAGGAGATTTTGGGAGGGTCATTGAAGTTGGTTCAAACAGGCTCCCGAGCAGAGTTCCTTCGTTCCTTCTCAGGGTAAAACCTCACTGCTATTCTGACCGATTCTTAGCATTTTGGGGTCAAGTGTTTACTTTCATCTATAAAAGTATGTGAATGATTTTTAAATTTTAATTATCATCAACTTGGTGGCTTACTCCAGGTTAAGATTTTACATCCAAAGAGAAATGAAATGTGGAAATGTTAAATCGTGCATGAAATGTGACGGAATGTTTTTTTTTTTTTAGTAAAAATGGTATCTTTCCAGAGGGAGAAGCTAACATAACGACTGTCCCACAGATAAACCAGTTATCACAGTGGATGCAGTTATGTTTTGTTAGAACTACCCACCAGCATCACACGTGTCCAATGGGCTAGTGCCCAATCGAGATAATTGTCTTCTCTTCTTTTTTACTTTTTCTTTCTTTTTAAAATGCTTGTTTATTTTTGAGAGACAGAGCACGAGCAGGGGAGGGGCAGAGAGCGTGGGAGACACAGAATCTGAAGCAGCTCCAGGCTCCGAGCTGTCAGCACAGAGCCCAACACAGGGCTTGAACCCACGAATCGTGAGATCATGACCTGAGCCGAAGTCGGAGGCTTAACCGACTGAGCCCCCCAGGCACCCCTGAGGTAATTTTCTTATTTAACTGTAAGGTAATAACAATAAAAACTCCTCCAAGTAGCTTAAAGACAAAGCTCCACTTTACATCACATGTTGCAACACACGTACACACGTGCACACGCACGTACACACATGCACACACAGACACACACACACACAGTCACAGCCATGATCTATCTCTGCATGGCGTTCATGAGACGGTCTTCACGTGCTCGATGCACCTGTTCTCAACAGTCGTCAGGACTGGCCTCGGGGGAAGGAGGGATATTACTTCCCTATTTTGCAGGTGAAGATGTTGATATTTTTTAGTGATTAAACAATTGTCCAAGGAGGAGCCACGATGAGAATCCACGCTTTTCTGCTCACCTACTCACCTTCCTTTGGTGTCCCCGTGACATTTCACAGTGAAATACATGAATTAGCTCACGTGGATAATGTATCGCTAAAGTACTCAATGGAATTTCTGGTCATAAACCATGGAAGAGAAATCCTAGAGACTAATATAAAATCCTTTATTTCAACAGAGAAATCCAATGCCTTTTAATATTCAATAACATTAATCTTGGCAACTTCATAAAAGAAATATGTTCTGGAAACATTATTGCTCGTATTTCCAGGTGTAAAAACGAAAGCAAGAGATCTTTATTAACTTGTTCAAGATCTCAGAGTAGAGGAGTATCTTTCCTTACACTACAAGCAGAACGCAGATAAAGTAACGACACACAAATCCATAGACTGTGTCTGTCTGGGGGGAAGATTGCAGGTTTTGTTGTGTGTACAGTGAACACAGACAGGGGAAAAGGCACGGGCCACATGAGGTAGAAGACAAGGTGGTGAAGGGGCAGGAAGAAACCATCAAGGCCCTAGGAGGCAGCAAAGCCCCCTGCCTGCAATCTTGTACTTGACGTGAGCCTGCACTTGACCTGACTCCCTTCCTGACACCTCCCTGCCCCCCATGCCTGCTTCCAAGACCGCCTCACAAAGGAACACCAGCACCCGAGCGCTGTTCTACTTTGGGGACTAGAACTAGACAATTTCTATACGTTTAGACAGAGTGGATAGAAAAGAGCAGTGAGAGCATCAGGGTCTGACACAAGGGGTGTGCTCACTGGACGCCGGCTGCTGTCACCTCCGCCATGGCCTCCGTCATTACCTCCACCATCTTCTCCACCATCACCCCCGCCATCATCTCCATCATCTCTTCCACCATCACCTCCACCATCATTTCTACCATCTCCACCTTCCCCTCTGCTTGATGGTCTTCTCTACCACCCCTCCACCATCGCCATATGAGGTCACAGTGGTGACGATGGCAGCACTGAAATCAGAAGCCCAGACCGTCTACTCCTCTCCCCGTCATTTTACAGTAACACAGGAAATAGATGGTTGATGCTGCTTCTTACTAGTGGTTGGGTTATCATTTACTACTTAATTAGCAAGGAACTGAGGATCTCAACTGAAAAAGACGAAGCCCGATGTTTCTTTAAACAAGGCTGGTCACCAATAGTGAGGCTGCAGAGAAGCCCGAGTGCAAAGTGTTTTAAAACAACAGAAACACACCTCTGTCCCAGAGTTCTTCTTGATCGGTCTGTGATCGTTCAGGGCTGTCATTTGACAACATCACTGAAAGTGTGAGGGTTAACTTTAGTGGTCAACTTGTCTAAGCCACGGTCCTGTGTTTGGCCAAACGCAGTCTAGACATTGCTGTGAAAGTCTTCCTTAGATGGGATTAACACTGAAATCAGTCAACTTGGGGTAAAGCAGATGGCCCTCCACGGTGTCGGTGGGCCCTATCCAATCAGCGGAAAGCTCGAAGATTAAAAAGACAGGGGTTCCCCAAAGAAAGGGGAAGTCGGCCCGCAGAGGGGCTTTGCCCCTTGGGCTGACGCCGGCTCTACCCTGACTGCAGCCTGCTGACTGACTCTGGAGACTTTACTTATCAGCCTCCATAGTCACACGAACTGATCTTAAAAATCTCTCTCTCTCTGGATCTCCGTACCTACCTATCTATATCCTACGGATTCTGTCTCTCTGGAGAACCCCAGCACATGTGAGAAGGGCTATAAAAATAGCTTCATGAAAAAGAATTTTTCAACTGAGAAGCTAAAAAAAAATCTATGAGATAAAAGACGTGTGTATTTCTATGAAAGGTGTCCTCTAGCTTCGTCACAATTAAGATGGCTGCTACGGACTCTCCACGCTAAGCAGTGAGCGTGCCGGGAAACTTGACTCACCTTTGCCGCATCGGAGATGGAGTCCCAGTTCCCCCCAGAAAGGGCATACTTCCCACTTCCGATCCTCGTCAGAATCTCCTCAGGAGTATCATCGGGCCCGTTTGCAAAAGGGGTAAATCTGTGCAATGAGAGAATTCGGGTCATGAGCTTCCACTATGCCACCTACAGTGACGTTCGCAGCTTAGTGTGGTCTCCACGTTGTTGAAAGTAGCTCTTTCTTTCCCATCATGCTCCAAAAACAGGGTCATGGGGACCCGTTACTTATCTCTTACGCTGTGTCCATCTTCCCTACTCGGTCAGTGCTGTAGGTCAAGAAGGCCAGCGCAGAAATCTCTGTGGACCCGAGCACGAGCTCCCTGGCCCGTTTCTGGAGCCCTTGGCGACGCTGTGTTTTGCCCGGTCATCCATGAGACCGTGATGTAACGGGGGAGAGCCTGAGATCTGAAGTCTGAGAGACCCATGGTTGGCCTATTACCAACTCCAGCTCTCTGATAAATTACATTTTTTTGAAAGCGAGAGATAGTATGAGTGGGGAGAGGGGCCAGAGGGAGAGAGAAGATCCTTTGTTTAAATATTTTTAATGTTTACTTATTTTTGAGAAACACAGAGACAGAGCATGAGTGCAGGCAGAGCATGAGTATGGGCAGAGAGAGACACAGAGAATCTGAAGCAGCTCCAGGCTTCGAGCTGTGAGCATAGAGCCTGACACAGGGCTCGAACCCACGAACGTGATCTCACATCCACGGGCCCCGAGAGAGAATCTTAAGCAGGCTGCACACTGAGTGTGGAGCCAGACACGTTGCTCCAGCCCACGACCCTGGGTTCCTGACCCGAGCTGAGATCAAAAGTCAGATGCTCAACCAAATGAGCCACCCAGGCGCCCCACACATTAATTTCTTAAGACTCAATTGCAAATGGGCAGGATAACTCACTCCCAGGGAGTGTCTACACAGACACATGCACGATGCCTCAGCACCTGCTGCACTGAGTTACTGTATCACCTCCCACCATAAACCAGGGCACGCTGAGAAATGCCTCCCTGGAAAAGGAATCCGTGGGATCCCCACGCTACTTCTCTTCGTGGCGAAGCTTGCTGTCTGAGATCCGCGCACACACCGCGAGCATCAGAACACCGCAGAGCGACCCCACAGTGTTGATGCCAGGAAGAGCCGGGGCGCCTTCCCGGTAATTGTCCTCCAAGCACAGCCCCGGGCTGGCGACTCAGCCTCTGTTCCCCGCGGACACTAATCCCTCACGTGTCCCGAGAGGCCTCATGAAGGCTACAGAAAAAGCGGGCATTTTGTCCATTTCGTGACAGTCAACAGGACTGGACGGTCTACAGCTCTTTTCCTTCCATGCAGGGGTCTAATTAGCTTAGAAAGCGAGGTCCCGTGGGTTATTTGGGTCCTAGACCTTTAAGGCTGGAATCCTAAAGGGCCACCTGCTTTTCATTCAGAAGTGAGGGGGGTGAGGCCAGCTGAGGTCAAGGAGCCCAGCAGACCCTGGACTGGGCGCCGGTGCGCAGCCACCCTACCCTCCCCCCGTGATGCCCGGGGTGTTGTCCCGCGGCCACGCAGGTCAGTCACCTGCCTTTACCTGCCGCCTTCCCCGAGGTGCTGTCTGACCAGGAAGCCGTTATGGCTGCTTCTTAACTCAAGAGAACATTTTTAAGGGGAGATGTTGCGACCTCTTAAGGGGGGGTGCAACGGAGAATATGGACACGTGGTCAGAGGCTTGGGTTTTTTGCTGATGAGCGGAGTTCTGTGCCCTGGTTCCCCAATTCTAGAGATACATTTTAAAGAAAACAGGGGCTCCTGGGGGGTTCAGTCAGTTAAGCGTCTGACTTTGGCTCAGGTCATGATCTCGCGGTTTGTGGGCTTGAGCCCCGCATTGGGCTCTGTGCTGACAGCTCAGAGCCTGGAACCTGCTTTGGATTCTGCATCTCCCTCTCTCTCTGCCCCTCCCCTGCTGTGCTCTGTCTCTCTGTCTCAAAAATAAATAACCATTAAAAAAATATAAAGCATAAAGCTAACCTTCTTATCCCTGTTCTTTACTTGTCCTGAAGAGGCTAAGGAGGCCTGAAAGCGTCCCCACCCCAGCACCGGGCAGGGCCGACCTGGGCCCGGACGGGGCAGCACCCCGCGTCCCGGCCTCCCGATGCCTCGCGCGCTGACTCCTGTGGGAGGAGCACATTACCCCGCCAGCATGGTGTACAGCAGGGTCCCCAGGCTCCAGATGTCACACGCCGCATCATAGCCTTGTCGCTTCAGGACCTGCGGGGGGGAAGCAGATGACGGATGAGCACTCGGGAGGCAAGTTCAAGTTCCTGGCGTGTCGCTCCGATGGGATCAGGAGCCGGGCAGGTGGGGACCAGGGACGTCTTCTGTGGAGCTGTCATTCGTTAACGCAAAGTCGGCCGTGGAGCCCTGCAGCGGGGCTCCCCACAGACCAGGGCACACATAGGAACCCCAGTTCTTGCTAGATCCACAGCACATGGATTAAAAAGGAAACACTTAATTTTTAAGGAACTTTTAAAAAAATTATGGCAAAATACACATAGCATAAAATTTACCATCTTTTAAAAAGTTTTTTTATGTTTATTTATTTTTGAGAGAGAGACAGAGCGTGAGCTGGGGAGGGGCAGAGAGAGAAGGAGACACAGAATCTGAAGCAGCTCCAGGCTCTGAGCTGTCAGCACAGAGCCCAACACAGGGCTTGAACTCACAAACTGAACCATGAGATCATGACCTGAGCTGAAGTGGGACGCTTAACCATCTGAGCCACCCAGGTGCCCCTCAAATTTACCATCTTAATCAGTTTTAGGAGAAGAGTTAAGGCATTCAACTGTTACCGCCATCAGTCTCCAGAACTCTTTTCTCTTGCAAAACTGAAACTCTCCCATCACGCACTGGTTCCCCATGGCCCACCCCCAGCCCTCGCACCCACCCTTCTCCGCTCGGTCTCCACGGATGTGGCTGGTTTAGGGACCTCATGTAAGTGGAATCATATGGTAATTATGCTTCTGTCTTGTGTAACATACAGAACGCACTGTGTTTGAGGTTCATCATGTAGCATAGCACAAGACATCCCTCCTTTTCAAGGCTAACATTCCATTGTGTGAATAAACCACATTCTGGGAGCTCTGGGCAGGGGGGGGGCTCAGTCGGTTGAGCATCCGACTTTGGCTCAGGTGATGATCTCACAGTTTGTGAGTTCAGGCCCCATGTCGGGCTCTGCGTCAACAGCTCAGAGCCTGGAGCTGCTTCGGATTCTGTGTCTTCCTCTTTCTCTGATCCTCCCCTGCTCGTGCTCTCTGTCTCTCAAAAAATAAACATTAAAGAAACTTTTAAAAATCAAAAATAAACCACTTTCTGTTCATCCATTCAGCCACCGACAGATGCCTGGGTGGCTCCCACCTTTTGGCCACTGTGAATCATGTTGCTGTGGACGCAGGTGGCGAATGTCTGCTCCTGTCTCTGCTTTCAGGCTGCTGGGTCCCTGCAAGACTGCACTACATGGTGATCCTGTTTAATTTTTTGAGGAATGCTTAAAACAGAAGCATTCATGCGTCCTAGGATTACAGACTGTAGCAGCAGACAGTCCTCAGACAAAGTCATAGCCGAGTGACAGGAAAGCAAGCAGCTTCGATACTCCTGGGTCCCTGCACATCCGTGGACTCAGCGCTACACGTGGAAAACCGCGAGCAGTTGTCTTAAACACAAGGGCAAGGAGCCCATCCCCCACCTCTGTACCGCTGACACCATGGGCCGTGCCGGCAACACGGAAGGCGGTGAACCAGCACACGGAAATCAACAGAATGTTCACTGTTCAAGCCCTCTCTCCACGGGCTGAGTGACCTTCAAAAGTCACTTGAACACACTGAACTTGTTTTTTTCCTTAATCTATCAAGCGTGGCTAATATCCACCCTGTCCACTTCATAGGGCGCATCAAGATAGAAGTAAGAAATACTGGAAAAAGGGCTTCAGAAATGGAAAAGATACCGATTCTTAAGATATTCTACAACCACTACAATCAATAGCATCGATATTATTTCTGATCAGAAAAGGCACAATAGATGCTTATAAGCAGATTATTTTAAAGGGGCCCCAGGTAGCGTCTGGGTGGCCTAAAAATGGCCTTGGTCCCACTCGTGTGGGCTCCGTGCCCACCTGCATCTCGGCTCAGCACCCTGCCTTCCTCACCACACTGTGGGGGGGCACCTCTCAGCTCTCTCTCGCAGGCCCGCTGCTAGGTGCCCGCGTGCCTTTCCCAGCAGCCGGAAGGATCCACACAGAATCTAAATCTAGCCCCTGCCCCCGGCCCCCCGGCCCCTCACCCCACTGGCCATGGGCTGTCCTGCTCCACCGGCCTCTCAGGTTTTGTTGCTAAGCTTCTAAAAAGCAAGGAACTGGGTTTGTCTTCACAGGTGTTCCAGTGACTTCGGAGCCTAATGGAGGCGTCCCCGGGAGCCCGAGGCCGTTGCCCAGCTCATCCCGTCCGCTGGAGGCCGGCCAGCCGCCCTCCTCTGCCCATGACCGCGGTCCCCAGAGACTGTGGCTTCTGCCGTGGCCCACAGCCTGCAGCAGAACCTGGCCCAGAGGAAACCCCCAAACACGCAGACCCCGCCCCCCCCGCCCTGTCGGTGCAGCCGTAGGCGGGTTTCTGATCACAGATGACCCGTCAGCTCCCTTCTGGGTGACGCGAGAGACCGACTGCATTGTTTCTACGTAACTCCCGGCAAACACTCGGGTCTGAGCCCAATGGTCTACCGCACAGTAACGATTTTACATAGAAGCATCACCAGGAAAAATGCTGCAAACAGGAAACTAAAATGATACAATAGGTGTGTTTGAGCAGGATTAGGGGCTGATTGTTTTCTCATTCATTTCTATTCTCTAAGGTTATTGCTGAACTAAATCAAGGTGCCTCCAGTGTACCCAACTCTCTATCCCCTCCTTTGCTTACCCCCACTCCCCGCCCCTGGCTCAGAGATCTGACCCCCACTGTCTCAGAGATCTCACCCCCGCCTGCTCAGAGATCTTACCCCCACCGTCTCAGAGATCTCACCCCCGCCAGCTCAGAGATCTCACTCCGCCGGCTCAGACCTTATTCCTGAAGTCTCCGATCTTACCCCGCCAGCTCAGCTCTTACCTCCGGGGCCACGAAGTTTGCTGTGTAGCACGGCGTCATCAGCAGCCCGTTCTCTGCCCGAAGTTGCTTGGCGAACCCGAAGTCACAGATTCGGATGGACTCAGGGTTTCCGGACTCATCCATATACAGTATGTTACTCGGCTTCAGGTCTCGGTGAACGACCTGGAACGGCAGCAGGCCCAGGCTGGAGCGGGAAGGGAAGGGGCGAAGCGTTCCCAAGAGCAGGGTGTGTACTGGAGCCGGCGTGCAGCCGGAAGCAGGTCAGCTTGGATGGGGGGTGTGGGGGGGCGTTCCCTCCTCTCTTCCTCTGACATTGACGCTCAGATCTGGGGGCCCACTAGAAACCTCTTTGGTGGCAAATGAATATTTCAACGAGTGAGTAAATGAGCAGCTACCGAGGCGGAGAGAACTACGTGCGGTGAGCCAGGGGACGTGGACGAAAAGATCTGCACAGAACGTGTTTACCGTGCGCCGCCACGCCCCAGCGTGGTGAGGGGCTGGCACGTGGGAGAGCGAGGCAGACGTGGGGCGCATGACCACAGACGGGCTCAGCAGCCGACAGGAGCCCTCAGCCGCCCCCGTGCCGAGGGAGCTGCGGGGCTCCGAGCGCGAGGGACGGGGTCAGTGGAAGCCGTCAGCGCATCTCAGAGCAAAGCAGCTACTCGGGGCTCGTGGTGATTTCTTCGGAAGTGGACAGAGGCCGACTGTGAGCACACGCGTGTGTCTGCACACGGCCGGGAAGCCGCATTGCCCCGTTAGACCCCAGGCACGGATACAAGAGGGGGGTCGGAGGGGCACACGCAGGTGCCAGCCGGGTCATGGGCCCTGCGGGCAGGGCAGTGGGACAGTCCGGGTCCAGGCCCATCTCTGCCCTCATTCAGTGGAAGCCCTTCTGGAAAAGCCATCGTCCAAAGGGTTTCCTCTGGAGGGTGACTCTTCTGGGAAAATGCTTCCTACTCCCGGGCTGCCGGGTGGTGGACGCATTTAGCCGCTTACGACCACCCGTGAGGGGCTGGCTGGGGCACAAACACGGTCTGCCTCACGGGAAGGGCCGAGGGGAGAGGGGCACCGGGGACAAGGCCACCCCCAGCCGGCTGCGGGGGCTGCGAGCGTGGGGTCGGGAAGCCGAGAGCCCGGCAGGACCCCGGCTCCGTCAGTCACTTGTGTGTGGCCGGCTCCTGGGCAAGACAGCTGACCTTTCTCTGCTCTGGCATCCCAGTCAGACTGCAGACGCGGGGGGCACAGAGCAGCGCCTGGGCCGCGGGAACCCGGCCACCACTGTCATTTTCACCTGCAGAATTCCTCTGTGCAGGGAAGGAATTCAGCTTTAAATGGAGCAGGTGATGGGAGTTCAGAACTTCCCTGTATCACAACCTTTCCTGCATCTCAGGTCCAGGTACATGGAGTGTCCCTGGTGAGCTCCCCCGAACGCTGTGTGTGCAAGGGTCTGAGACACGCAGGGGCAGCTGTGATGCGGATGGGCACCGGCCCGCTCCCTCCTGCCCCCTCCCCAGGGCTGCGCCCCCCCTCCCCACGGGAGTGGAGGGAGTCCATGGTGCTGGCCACCCCGGAGGGCAGCGGCTCACCCCCTGGGAGTGCAGGTAGTCCATGGTCTTGGTGAGGGTCCACAGCACGTCGCTGGCCTCCCGCTCCGAGAAGCACCGCTGCCGCAGGATGCGGTCCAGGAGCTCCCCGCCGCGCATCAGCTCCGTTACCAGGTACACGAACTTGCCGTCGTCGTAGACCTGGGGGGCAGACACGGGCGCAGGGACCTCAGGAGCCACGCCGTGACCGCGGCCGCCTTGCCCTCGCCGGCCCGCCTGCTGTAGGGAGAAGGCAGCCCCAGGCGGGAGGGACAGGAGCCGGGGCGGGGCGGGGGCCTCAGTGCCCCCGCCCCCCGCCTGGTGTCAAAACCAGGCTTCTGGTGAAAATGAGCGAATGGCGGGTCCAGTCATACCCAACACGGCTCCTCTTAGGAAACAGCAGCTTTAATAGCCTGCAGCAAAGCAGGGAACGAGTCGGCGAGGCCAAGGGCTGGCGGGGGGGGATTTTAGCTGAAGCGAAGTGTCCTGATCTTGCTCCCGTCTCTGCTGTGGGACTGGGGGGCACCGTGCTGCTGCGGGCCGCTGGCGCCGAGCTCGGCCGACCTGAGTGTGCACGCCATGGGGCGGGGGTCTGCTTAGCAGGCAGGTCCGGTCCGTAGGTTAGGGTCCTGTCCAAGCAGCCCCCAGGGGCCCTCCGTGCCGCTGCACCGTGGACGAGGTGCAGCCAGACCCCAGCGTCCGGAACGGGATGGGGGGGGGCAGAGCCACAGAGGAGGGGCCATATGCCGCCAGAAATTTTATGGCCGAAGGCAATGGAAAAAAAGAGCTTTGTTGAGTCAAGGGACAAAGGGCATCGGGGGGCTCAGTCGGTTGAACATCTGACTCTTGATTTCAGCTCAGGTCATGATCTCACGGTTGGGGAGTTTGAGGCCTCTGTTGGGCTCTGTGCTGACAGCACGGATTCTCTCTCCAGCTCTGTCTTTCCCCTACTCTCTCTCTCTCTCTCAAATTAGATAAATATTTTTAGAAAACCCAAAAAAACCACAACAGCCAAAACCACCTCTGCCCTTGCCCTTTCCGTGACACACCTGTGTGGCACCACCGCCTGCCTATGGGCGTGCCCAGGTGACGAGAACTCATGGCAATGGGGCAGGTCACCCTCATACGAGCACTTTTCTAGCTCACACGGCAGTGACTTTCCAGAACAAATCACTCAAATAATTTGCCTGACTCTGGGCTCACTACTAGAGGGAAAGGTAACGTGGGTGTGTTGATTTCCAGGTTATGAACGCGGAAAATGCTCTCCTGAGACTGCACTGAGGCCGCTAGTGGCGGCGGGCCTCACACCCCAGCAGGATGACAGGGGTTAGGGAGGCTCGGGAGTTTTCATACCAGCTGGCTTCTGCGTGTGGACCTTAACAGGTAATAAAAGCTGGAATGCAGGGAGCAGCGAGGTGACGGGGCCCCTGGGGTGCAAAGCTGGCTTTTGCTCTGCTTTTGGCAACACGGGTGCCTGTTTCACATTCCCTCGGGACTTAGCGGGAACTCCAGGCGGGCTCAGAACCCTAGGGTCTGCGATCCGACCCGGCTCCGTCTCACCCACTCCCTACTCTCATTTCTGCTAATGCTCGACGGCTGCCAGCCATCCTGCCCTTTAAGCGCATGCCCGCCGATTTGGGAGGGGGCTGGGCCGACGCCGGGTAACCTCAAGGTGCCCGCGGCAGAGGCTGGTCCCACACGCGCTCACGGGGGCAGGAGCAGTCGCTGAGCCGCGGGGAAGGCCACCCCCAAAGAAACTCGAGGCACACACGACACAGCCACTGTGTGAAGGCCACTCACGTCTTTGAGCGTGATGATGTTCGGATGCTGTCCGTATCTCAGGAGAATCTCGATCTCTTCCGAGGGGTCTCTCTTACTCTTGTCGATGATCTGGAACAAACGAGCACGTGACCTGAGGCTCCCGGGGCGTCTGCTGGCTCCGACCCTGTCTGGCTCCTCCTCCCCTCGGGCTCATGCCTACAGGATAACTTACAGCTGCTGAGAAGTTCATGGCAACCCTCCCTCCCACCGTTTACAAAACCCAGGCCCAAGGGGCGCCTGGGGGGCTCGGTCAGTTAAGCTTCCGACTGCGGCTCAGGTCACGATCTCACAGTTTGTGGGTTCAAGCCCCGCGTCGGGCTCTGTGCTGACAGCTCAGAGCCTGGAACCTGTTTCGGATTCTGTGTCTCCCTCTCCCTCTGCCCCTCCCCTGCTCACACTGTCTCTCTCTCTCTCTCTCTCTCCCTCTCCCTCTCAGAAATAAAACATTAACAAGAATTAAAAAAAAAAAAAAAGCAGGCCCAAGCCTCAGACACGAATTGCAAACTATTGCAGGCTGGGTGGAGAGCGGGCTTCGGGGAGCTCACGCAGGCACCGCGTAACGGAAGGTGTTTTGAACCGCGGTGGCGGGCTCTGGTTGGTGGCCTGGGCACTCTGTCGTCCAGAATCGGCCCCCAGCTGCTGCTGGGTCTTACCTTACTCTGCAGCTATGCACCAGCAACAAAGTGTGGCCACATGCATGGCTCTCCCTAGGGGCCAAGGGGCCGCTGTGGCTCAGACACACAAACATCCCCTCCCCTCCGCCACCCAGCGTCCATAGCCCACTTCCTGGGATAACAGATAAAATCCTTCCTCCCGAGGAAACAGACGGCCTCCGAAGACACAAGGTTTCATGAGCATAAGCCTACGTCCAACGGGGACTCATCCGCGGTACATCACGGCCGATACCTTTGGAGGTGGCTTACTGTGCCCTCGCTTGCATTTTATGGGGATGGAACTGGTGGTGGAAGGGGACCCCATCCAAGTGACCCCACCCCACATGTGTTTGAGACAGTGCTCAGAAGAGTGCAAGCTGTTCTTGCAGATCAGCTTCACTTAATTTTAAAATATTTACTCTTTTGGAGAATGTGGAATCGTCTGACCACTAGACCATGAGAGGGGTTTCCAGTGCTTTCTCTCACGTGAAAGTGTTTAAGTGGAGCTTTGCGTGAAACTCAACCTCTTTTCGGGGCGCCTGGGGGGCTCGGTCCGTTAAGTGTCCGACCTTCACTGAGGTCATGATCTCACGGTTCGTGGGTTCGAGCCCCGCGTCGGGCTCTGTGCTGACAGCTCAGAGCCTGGAGCTGCTTCGGATTCTGTGTCTCCCTCTCTCTCTGCCCCTTCCCTGCTCACACTGTCTCTGTCTCAAAAATAAGTAAACATTAAAAAACTAAAAAACAAAACAACCTCTTTGAACAGAGTGTTTGGCCGCGTCTGACCACCTGCCCCCCTTTGACCCTCCCTCACTGCCTCGGACAGTCGCCCTAGTTCCCATGCTCCTCTCTCCATCCCGGCCTATTTTATTATTTTATCTTTATTTTTATTTTCTATTTTAGAGAGAGAGCGCGCGCACAGTGCATCTGAGTGGGGGAGGGGCAGAGAGTGAGGGAAAGAAAGAGAGAATCCCAAGCAGAGTCCACTGTCCACTCAGAGCCCGATGTGGGGCTCGGTCCCACGACCCTGAGATCATGACCTGAGCCGAAGTCAAGAGTCAGGCCCCTAGCCGACCGAGCCCCCCAGACGCCCCTCCGTCTCGGTTCTAAAGGCCCCAGCCAAGCTCCCAGCGCCGCAGCTGGGAGCCCAGGCACACGTGCTGCTAAATAAACAAAGGCTAAGCTCGCTTTCTGGAGACGCTTTTCTCTTCTCGCTACATTTAACTCCACTGAAGCCGGAGCTCGGCCCCCAGGTCACTTCTGTCGTGGACAGAAGCCAGCAGCTGACGCAGCGTCCTCTGCGAAGGCCGGGGCCTCCATGACGCCACGAAGGGCTCGGTGGGATGCTCTTTGAAATGTGAGATGGTTAAAGTACCTTACTGGATGTTTAAAAAATTAGTGGTAGATTCATTATTTTTTCAAATAAGATTTCATAATAAAAAATGCATTAGCATGAATCTGTTGATCACCCTCTCAGCGGAGCAGGATGCAGGAAGCCTTTTCTCTACGGCCAGTGGCCAGGGTTGGGGGGGCGGGGGCACAGCAGCTATGGGACCAGACGGGGCGGCTGCGCAGACACTCATAGGACAGGAGCTGGGGCTTTACCTTCCTCCGCCCTGGGGCACCTCCCGGTGGTGGGGGTGACCTGAAGCCGGGGGGACAGGGAGGTGGGGAGGTGGGTGTGCAGGGGACACGGGCGCCCCGCCTGGCAGGGAAGCCAGGTCTGAGGGTGGCGGGCACAGGACCCTGCAGCCGAGCGCCTGGCTCTCCACCCCCCCCATCTGGGCGGGGCTATGCGTCCACGAGGCGACGCGTCTATTCAGGCGCCTGGTGTTGATCCCGACTTTGTCGGCAAGTCCTGGCTGCTTTTAGCCACAAATCTTCTGGGATTTCCTTCTTTGAAAGGTAAGGAAAAAGGGTCTTAACAGAGACGCTGAGCCGGGAGGCGCGAGGACCGGTCGCTGAGCCCCCGAGGTCGAGGACGTTTAGGCGCGTCTGGGATGTTTAGACATTTCTTCTCTGTGGGACTGGCTCCTGGGACTGCCATCGTCAGGCTTGCCTCTAGCTCAGCAAAGTGCTGGTGGGTCAAGTCCCTTATTCCGAGAATAATACCGGTTTATAGTTTCTCGTGGGCAGTGCAGGAAGGGGTTCTCAGCACAGGTGCTTCTGAGCAAGGCCTCCTCTCGTCCAGGCTGGCGCTCAGGTGACCCTGACGGAGCGCAGGGGAGGAGTCGGGAGGAGCAGTCTCTGTCCTCTCATCCAGCAGGGGCCGCAGGCAGCAAGCGGGACGCTGCCAGGGGTCAGCCACCCACCACGGCCCCGAGCAAGCTCCTCGGCGCCCCCCCTAAGGAGCTGTGCGCTTGCGAGGCCTGGTCGGCATCCCGTGGGCAAGGCCTCGCAGCAGACGGCAGGGGGGCTCCCTCCGCAGGTGAAGCGCAGAGGTGCCGTTCCAGGGCACAGCGGGCGCCTGGGGGCTCAGTCAGGCGTCCCACTCCTGATTTCAGCTCAGGTCATGATCTCACGGCTTGTGAGTTCGGGCCCCACATCAGGCTCCACAAGCTGACCGTGCAGAGCCCGCTCGGGATTCTCTCTCTCCCTCTCTCTCTCTGCCCCTCCCCCAATGCGTGTGCATGCATGTGCACTCTCTCTCTCAAAATAAATAATTAACATTAAAGAAAGATAAATAACTTAAAGCTAAACACGATACTTCCAAAACCATGAGAACCGCTACATGTCACAGGTGCTCTGGGGCTGACGGCCCGCTCTTGGCCGAGCTGTCCGGGAGGCCAGTTCCCGCTCCATCCGCACGAGGGCCCCCCGCCCCCGAGCAGGAAGCATGGAACTCCTCGGACCATCATTAGGTGAGCAGGAGCTTAACAGGGAAGGCACACGCCACCCTCATGTCCCAATGTCCGTCCGCTGGAATTTATCTGGGAGGTGTCCGCCCCCGTCCCCGACGGACGCTTTAGGCTGGGCCTTCCCCTTCAGCACCGCCGACATACGGGCTGGGTAATTCTTCACTGACTGGACCCTGGGAGGGAGCGGCCTGGGCAGGCTGTCAAGCCTCTAGACCCCAGCGGCGGCTCCACCCCGGCTGTGACAAGCAGAATGTGTCGAACATGGCCAGTGTCCCCGGGGGCGAAGCCAGCCAGACGGATGAGGACTGCCCGACACGGGAGCCCCGGCACCCCGGTCACCATCCTACCTGCATGCACTTCTTTGCTCTTGACTCTGGGGGAGTTTCCGAATCGCCTGTGGAGTTGGACGAGGAGGCCCCCCTGGCTCGGGCTAGACTGTTTCTCAAAATGAGACAGTCACCCTTTTCCATCCACGCAAGAATGGACGCCCGGGTCCCCACACTTTGCGTGCTAGCCGCTGTTAAGCATCACGCTTCCAGCTCTGCTACGCATCAGCCAGACAGCAGACACAGAAGGCCGAGGAATATTTCCATTCCGTTCTACCTGGAAAATGCTGACAAAGGGCAGGGCGGCGATTGTGGGATCTTAGAACACTCTGCTAACAAATGGGCCCATCCAGAAAACTGAGCTTTTTTTTTTTTTTAAATGTTTTTAAATGTTTTTATTTATTTCTAGGAGAGAGAGAGAGAGACAGAGTGAGCAGGGGAGGGTCAGAGAGAGAGGGAGTCACAGACTGAAACAGGCTCCAGGCTCTGAGCTGGCAGTCAGCACAGAGCCCGACGCGGGGCTCGAACCCACGAACCGTGAGATCATGACCTTAGCGAAAGTCGGACGCTTAACCGACTAAGCCACCCAGGCTCCCCAAAACTGAGCTCTTTGCCTTGAAGTGCCTGCTGGTCCCGCGGCCCTTGAAGGAAATCCAAACCAGCAGTAATGAAGTGACAGCGGTCATTCCAACCAGTGGCTTACACAGCTCTGGGTCCGGTGGGCCTGCCCGGCGCTTGGGGGATTTAAGTACCTTCCAGACAAAAAACTACGACCTGCCGTGGTCTTGGTGAGGACTGGGGGGTCCCTGCCAGGCCCACCGGCTCCGTCTGTCCACGGAACTTCAAGGCTACAGAAGAGAAGCAGGAAGGTGCGGTTTCCTGTGGCACCGAGCTGCAGCCACGCGCCTGGCTTCTGAGCCCTGGAGCGAGATGTGTCAGAAGTTGCCAGCATGGCGCGGCCTCAACAAGAGTGTCAGGGATGGAGCTAAGGCCACGGACAAAGCCTAATTCAGACGGTGTTTTTATAAGAGCTGGATACGGGACAGTACGGGTAAACACACCACTGCCTCTGTCGACGGAGGTTTCTCTTCAGAGACACACAACGCAGCTGATCGGCCGCACAGAGGCAGGCTGTTTTCTAGAAGGGCATCGTGGTCACTGGGCCGCCCCAACAATAGATGTGCTTCTCTGCGCAGGCTGGAAGCATCGATTGTTTCCAGAATTGCTGCCGGCCACCCGCTAAACTGCCCAAAGGAATTGTGTGAGAAGTGACCCGGGCAGAAGAAATTCTCCGAAGCCCGTGTATGCCTGTGAAGCCTGCGTCCTGAAGCGCGAATGGAATGCTCTCATCGGAGCAGAGGGCAGGTGCGCGCCCCACGTCGGGCTCCAGGAGCAGCACCTGCCCAGGCAGATGGGGGTGGCCACACAGGTGCTCCTTTGAACTCTCTCGAGGGGGAGGAAACACGAAACTTCTCAGCAACCCAGGTCGTAGAAAGTCCCGGAAGCCCGCACGCCTGTGCCTCAGCGGTGACTGCGACACCACCTGGGGCTCCCGTGTGCACCTGCTGTAGACGCTGGGACGGTGAGCTGTGCCGTGCACTCTGCACCCTCCGCTCCGGGAAGCCCAGCTGCACGCCTTCCCTGGACGGCGAAGTGCCCCAGGCGTGGGCAGGCTGAGCGCGGAGAGCTCGCCCCTGGGACTCACATGCCGTCTCCTGTATTTCAAACACTCTTTCTCGTTAGAGGAACGTAAGACACACGTGTCCCTAAGCCATCACTTTCCAACCCAAACTAGACCGATGGCCTTTGATCTAGGTTTTTTTGGCTGGTGTCTTTTTCAGACAGAGCTAGGCATCTTTTCAGTGCCGGAAACACTGGGTGGGGGTCCCCGGTGGGTGTGCACGCCCTTCTCAGGGGTCTCCCTCTTTGCAAAACCCGTTTTCACAACACAGTGTGGGGCATGGGTGAGGAGCCAAACAGGAACGGGTCACCACCTGCAGTCATCGTTTTGAACGGTTTCTTTGGAGGCCAGGAAAATCGCCGGATGGGCTTGCTCCTTCTACCCTGCTGCCTGCTGGAAGGTTCCCCCCACTGGGGGATGGGCAGGGACACGTGCTGCAGACGGCGTTGGGTTTGGCCATGACGACGCCACAGGCCGGACCCGGCTTCTCGAGTGTCGAGGTCAGTTCAGTGGGAACGCGGTGCAAGTAGACATCTCCCTCTCGTGGAGAGAATGTACCACGTACGCTTTTTACCTAAACTAGGTCATGCTTTTAGTGGGAAGCTTTAGCTTTAGCCCATATCTTATCAACCAGAAAATGGAAGAAACTGGTATTTGGGATTCCCAGATGAGATATCAGATGTAGCAACAATTACAGAGGCCAACGGCACTACTACGTAGAGACGGGATTCTAGGTCATTACAGATCGTTATTACCATGACTTTTCATGGTGGAGAGTAAAATGGCCAGCTCTCTGCTTAGGTTTTCATAGGTTTAACCAGTTTACGCCTCTGTTCTTTCCTGAGTTAACTGTTGGGGACTCTGGCTTCCTCCTTTCTTCCCCACCTCCCATCAAACACGGTGCCTGTCTCCCGGTGTATTTTCCAAAATACTGAGCACCCAGAGCTTCTATTCCAGAGTGCGCTGTATACCAAGCTACTTAAGGTGGGCGGTACTCAGATGTGGGATAAAACTGAAATCATTCCTGATTCGCAAAATAATTTTTGAATGGGTGACGTGATATCAGAGCAGACCGAGCTCCGTCACGGGAGACCTGGGGAAGCGGCGAATGGGGAGGGAGGGGGCCGGCTCAGCCGTGCCCGCCGCGGCCAGCTCCGCGTTGCCCTGGCGCACGCACCGTCTTACCTTCACGGCATACTCTGCCTCAGTCGCTTTATGCACACACCGCTTGCACACGGAGTAGGAGCCCACGCCAATGTCCTCCTTGATGTCGTAGCCGTCGGTGAAGTGTAAGTTGTTCCCGTGTAACTGCTGCAGAGAGAGGCCAAGGGCAGGGGCGGCCGTCAGGGATCTCTGCGCAAGGGCGCAGCCACAGCCACAGGGCACGTCCCCGAGGCCTGGGCCCACGTCGCTGGGCAGCAAGGGCTCCAGGCCGGCCTCCCTGCCCCCCTCGCCTCTCCGGTTACAGGCTTCATTCTTAGACACCGGCACACAGTGTCCGCAGACTGGCCGCAGCCCCCGAAGACCTGAGAGCCTGAGAAAGCGGGCAGAAGCCCCTGCAGGTACTGGGCGTGCGGTTCCGATGCCCGAGGCGAGAGCGGCGCCTGGGTGTGCCAACATCCGCCTGGAAGTGCGGCCGCTCATGTCCCAGGCCTGGCCCACGGCTGCCGTGGCCACAAGCCCCGCACTGTGCACTCAGAGCACAGTCAGGAAGCCGCCCGGTACGGTCTACACCACCACATCAAGTGTCCACGTTAGATGTGCTGTGGTTTCCCAAAAGGCTCTGGACACAGAATGTGGGGACCTAACGCCACTCAATTCCCCTGACCTGGTCCTTAAATAAAATGTCATCGCAAGTCCTTCTGAGAATGCTCTGGATCTGGTTACACTCACTAGGGGAAATCTTATAAAAATGTCATTGGAATCCACCTCCTAAAAGTCAATTTCACAACAAGGGAGTGGCAGCCACAAAGCACATCGCTCTCTCAGGTACCGGCCCGACTCCATGCGGTGAGGACGCCCCCGTCTGATGCCCGTGGGGGCTCCAGATGCAGACGCGCCACGGGGACATTGTCATCAGCACTCTCCCCTTCGTTAGGAGGGGTGTGGGGCAGGGCGAAGAGCCACGGCTCGGGTCACCCTGAGCCTCAGTGACGCCCACGGGGCTGGGAAAGGGGCTGACGGAAGAAGGTGTGCCTGCCCCCCCCCCCCCCCCCCCCCCCCCGGCCAGCTCCCCGGTCGGCTCTGGGTCCGTGGAGGCTGTGGAGGCGGGCGGCGCGGGGTTACCTGCACGATGGGGTGGACCGTGGCTTTGTGCAGAAGATCCTGCGGCGAGGGCTCCTGGACCAGACTTGAGGCTACAAAGCTGAATCCTCGAAACAGATGATGTGCGTTGGCGCTGGGGGGAATGCCGGGTGAATCTGCAGAAACAGCGAGAGAATTCAACCCCCGGGAGGCCTCCTCGCTGGGGCTCTCCAGTCGCTTCGACTGAGTTCATTACATCACACAGTTTGCCTCTGAGCCAGGGACTCCCTGAAGCGCTAAGAGACGGAAAAGTCATTCTCTCTGTATTTATTTATTAATAAGAGGGTAAGATTTTCTAATTTTTTTAAATGTTTTTATTTATTTTTGAGAGAGAGAGAGAAAGAGAGAGAGAGAGAGAGAGAGACAGTGTGAGCAGGGGAGGGTCAGAGAGAGAGAGTGAGACAGAATCTGAAACAGGCTCTAGGCTCTGAGCTGTCAGCACAGAGCCCGATGCGGGGCTCGAACCCGCGAACCATGAGATCATGACCTGAGCCGAAGTCGGATGCTTAACTGACTGAGCCCCCCAGGTGCCCCAAGAGGGTAGGATTTTCTAACAGAGCATGGCGGTGTGAAAGGGCAGCTGTAGCAGTGTGATTCTCAAACAGTGGATAATCCACATCCTGTATGTGAGATTTCTGGACGCTGAGTGGGAATGTCTTCCGATAGGCTTATACCATTTTCCCCCTAAACTTAAGCCAATACTAAATACTAGTTTATATCCCCTGGACACGTTCAGATATCCGCTGCCTTCCCTGGAGCCTGAGGGGTGGTGAGAGAAGCCAGTCTAAGATTTAAAAGCCCATCGAACAAAGTAGTCATAAACTAGTCCTGGGATCATCAAAGTTTTCAATTTCCCAGTTTTAACTCCTCACTTTTAAATTTTCTTTTATCCAAGTCTCATGCATGCTTTTTAAGTACGGTGCCAAAAATCAGCATCCCCTCGATGATTATAAAGTACGACACACTCCATTTCTGCCACCTGTCACGTGGGCACGTCAGCCATGCCAACCAAACGTTAGTCGAGGTGACCTTCATAAAGACCCACTGGGGTGTGAGTGGAGGGCTGTGTGGGAGAGGCAGCCGGGGCGGAAATGTCATCTACGAATGAATCTATGTGATCTACGAATTCTCCATTCACTAGTGCAAGCGCATCCGTCCAAATTAATAGGGCTGTACGTCCCCCAAAGCGCTCACACTCCTAAGTGGCTGTAAATGAGCCTCTTGAGCGCTCTGGCTACTTCTCTGGGATGAGCTCAAATTCTTAAATCTAAAGCCCTAAGGGAGGGCGCCAAGGCGCCCTGAGAGTTGAAGGGGCTCTAGGGTGGTGATGCATTGTGCTTGGTGCAGAGCATGCGGCAGCCTGGGGGTGGTTAAGGGAAGGCAGACCGCAAAGCCCTAATTCTGTGCAGGAGCCCGGGGTCCGGAGAAGCCGGGTGCCCGCTGCCGCTACACCACAGTGGGGGGGCGGGGGGCGCTTTTGTCGCCACTGTCTCGCAGCGCATAATTCTCAGATTCCAAAAACGACTCAGCTGAGCCTTCTGGTTTTTAATTAAGCTTCCTGGGTCTAGCATGATGGGGATTTATTTCCCAGCACTGACGGCCTGAACCAAAGGGAACAATGTGGATTCTTATCTGTTCCAAGTGTTTCCACTGAGTCTTTTGCATTTGGCTATTTGTTTCATGATTATCTTTTTTTTTTTTTAATGTTTATTTTTGAGAGAGAGAGACAGAGACAGAGACAGAGCACGAGCAAGGGAGGGGCAGAGAGAGAGGGCGATACACAGACTCAGAAGGAGGCTCCAGGCTCCGAGCTGTCAGCACAGAGCCCGACATGGGGCTTGAACTCACAAACCATGAGATCATGACCTGAGCTGAAGTCGGAAGCTTAACCGACTGAGCCACCCAGGCGCCCCCATGATCATCTTTAAAAATCTTAGAAAATTTCAGATTTGAAGTCAGGGAGAAAAGAGCCCCCGTGCTCACAGGCCACTGGAACATGTCGGGCCTGCACCCCTACATAAAGGGGCTTTCCCTCTTTATGTCACGTAACACCGTCACATAACATACCCCTACTGTATGCACCGGACTGTGTTCCCCCAAACTCAGAGTGTGAAGCCCTCTGTGTGGCTGTCTTTGAAGACGGGCCTTTGGGTTAAGTGAGGTCAGGAGGCCTGACCCAACAGCGCTGGTGTCCTTCTAAGAAGAGGGAGAGACGACAGGGGTCTCTCTCCCTCCTCATGCCCGGGACGGGGCCGTGTGAGGCCACGGAGGGAAGGCGGCTGTCCGTGGCCAGGAAGGGAGTTCCCACCAGGAACCAAAGTAAATGCGCGGCGTCTGAGGCGCCCGGGCTGGCGGTGCGTCACGCGGTCTGAGCCGACTGAGACAATCCCCAGGTCTCAGAAAAATCCCCTAGAGTTGACTCATTAATGTCACGCAATGACCTCTTGAAACTGACGGAGTTTGACAGACCGTCGCAGCGACAGCTGACGCATCCTGAGAGCCGGGGGGACGTGTCCGTCTGCTGGGCTGAGACCCCGTGGCTGACTGAGCTTTGCACACAGGTGCGTGGAGTAAGGCCTACAGCTCCCGCGGCTGCGGACCTCACCTTCAGCCCTCCTCTCCCTACAAAACCCTCTAGTCGAATGAGAGACTGTCATCGTCGTGAGGTCCCCTCACGGCGTCTGCTGAAAGCAGTGGCCGCTGGCCCGCAGCAGGAGGGGACGCCTACAGACCCCTGGACGGCCTCCAAACCAGACGTTCCCGGGGGCGACCAGACTTGGTTCCGTCACTGACTGTGATGGTGGCGCAGAGAGAACGGGTCACACGGAACCGGCACTCAATCCAGGAAGCGCCCTTGCACACGGGACCCCGGGCCCTGGACAGCTCCCCCTAACTGGTGGGGTGTGGGGGGCCACACGCGGACAGACTCAGGGCCACCGCTGCCACACACACACCTGTGGGCGTCCGGGCGGTGAACTCGGGGTCGAAGTGGAATGTGTCCTCAGGCCTGCCCACCGCGGGCTTGAATGGCGGCTTGATCTCCTTCCTGTACAGCTTCTGCAGGGAGAGCAAGGCAGGGCGCTGAGGAACCGCGGACAACACGAGGGCCTTCCGTGCCCTGGCGCAGCCCGCTGCAGGGCGGGGAAGGCGCGCGAGGTGCACACGGCCGTTTCCACCTGCGGGCGGCACCCGAGACACTGACGTGTATATGAAAATACAGCCCCCCCCCGCTCCGGGTAACAGCAGTACCTGCTGTTGGGTACCCTCCTCTCCACCCCGGGGACCCTGAGGCCAGCCCCTGGGTGACGCCGTGAAAGCTCCCAGCTAGAAAGGAACCGAGCCTGGGCGCGGGGCTGGGGTGCCTCCTCCGGACACCCGCTCTGGCATCCCCAGATTTGGGGATCCAGCTGCCTCTGCAGAAGTGGGCGGAGCTGTGCTTTAGTGCTCCTTTTGCACACGCCTGTGCACTTCGATGGGCCCATCAGAACACCTGCCTCTAGATGGCCAGCAGCCCCTCTGGAGAATGGCCACGTCTGGAGGCCCCCACGGCACGTCACGGGGCCTGACCTGGGGCAGGATGGCTGGAAACCCGCGCCCCTCATTGCCTCGGTCTTACGTGGTAAATTTGAAAATGTCTTCAAACCCCAGTGTTGTTTTCAAAGCTCTCAGGCAGGGCGACAATCCGTTCTTTTGGGGAGACTCGATTTAAGGGACAATACAACTTGGAATCAGGCCCCGGTAGTGAGGCAGATAGGGGGCTGGGCCGGTCAGGGAGGTGGGCTCTGGGATGCAGGGGTGGGGGGGTCTCAGGGCTGGGACACGGGGGTGCAGGGGCCTTAGCGCTGGGACACTGGGGTGCGGGGGCTTCAGCACTGGAATGTGGAGGTGCAGAGGCCTCAGGGCTGCCAGTCTTGGCGGAGGCTGAGGGGGCGTCACGAGGTGGACTTAAGGACGTGGGGTTCTGGGTGCACAGGAGGGGTGCCAGCCAGCGTGCTGAGAGCTTGGCAGGCTGGCATCTGGGCAGCGGGGCCTGGACACCAGGACTGGGGTCTGGGTACAGCTGTTTTCGCACTTGTTTCCCCCAGTTCTGCCTGATCCGAGGGGCCCCCAGACCCTTGCTGGGCGCCTTTGTCTCAGTAAGTCTGGGGCCCCGCTCCGGGGCACGACGCGCTGATCCCTGCCTGGAGCACACCCTTCCAGAAGCCCCCGTGGGGGCGGCTGACCAGACAGTAGCTGTGTCTGGGAGGAGGGGTCCCGGAGGCCGGTGCTGACTGACGGCGCCGGGCTGCACTGTTTCACGAGCAGTGGCGGCTGCGGCGTGCACAGGCTGGCACTCAGGGCGCGCACTTGGGAGCCAGCAGACAGAAAGGAATGTATTAACTCCGCCCTGCCTTCCCTGGTCATTTCCTGCCCTGGGCAAGTAGATTTCATTAGGGATTGATGGACTCCTTGAGCCCTTTCCATAAATAGAAAGACGCTACTTTCCGGGTGACGCACTCCGGGGTGGGAATAGACTTCCCTGATGTATGCACTTGTCAGAGGAAAGCTGATGAGGAGAAGCGAGCTGTGCGCCCTGATTAAAATGCGAGCTGCTACCGAGACGGAAGGCCCAGGCGCAGCCCTGCGGGGCTGACCCCTGCTGCTCGCGCCGGCCGTTCTCCCGCGGTGCTCGAGCTGGGTTATTAAATCAATACCTGTCCTGCTCCAGGAAAACCCACATCGTCTCCCTCGGCATCCGTGTGTTCTGCTGCTACTTGGGGGATGGGGTGGGGAGGTGGGTGGTGGGGGAAGAGAGGGAGAGAGGAATCTGTACGAGCCGGGGCTCCTGCTTTTGTCAAGGGCGGGTATTTACAGGCACACAGAACTGGCTGTCACTTAATCCAAAAGAGAGGCGTTGGCACCTGGAGCTGAAGGTGACCCTCGGCTCCTCTTCTACCCCCAGCCCCACGGGCACAGGGATCCCTGGAACCCGGCAGCCAGCGCCTGCCTCAGCTTCACGGCTGCAGATCAAACAGTCCCGCGAACCCAGTACTTGAAACTGAAGCACTTCTGCTCCACCGTGGCTCACTGGGTGGCACCCGGAAGCCCCGGCGGGCACGGCCGCGCCTGTGTGCGCACCTGGCGGGCAGAGGCCGTGACGCGCCTCACCCTGCAGCCCTGCTGGCGACACCTCGCAGCCTCTCTTCCCATCCCGCCACCAGCGACAGAACCGTACTCCCTGTGTCCAAACCGAGAAGCAGGCTTGGGGTTTGGGGGGTAAAAGAACCTTCCTTCTCATTCTGTCACGTAAACGGCAGTGCACAGGGTTAATTCGAGAACGAAATACCAGCGGCATTTTGTGTAGGTTTTGAGCTTGATGAGATGCATTATAATTCTGACCTAGATTCCCGTCTCTGAGCCTCTAGAATGATCCATCCCACACCGATGGAAAGAGAATGGGGTCTCATGATCAATTCGCCAGGCATCACTTTAAATCATCTGTCTTGTCACCGGATCTCAGGCTGACACAAGTCACGGCCACATTGGCACAGGCTTCACATCGCGCCCGTATGCGCTAGGAAGCTCTGAGCAGGTGCGCCACGGCTATTTATACCTAAAAGACCTTCAGATGATGGAGGGGAGAACAGAGGGAGCACAGTGAAAATGGTAACGGGATAATGGAAGAGGAAGCTGATTCCAGCTCGGGGTCACGGACCTAACATCTGCTTCTGTAGGCAGTTTTGGCTCCAGGCGATTCAAAATTAACATCTTCCAATTAGGAAAGGGCACAGCTATAGATTGTTCCCGAAATAGCCATGCAGAAATAATGCAGAGACGCAGAGCGGGGGCAGCCTGAGTAGCAGGGAGAATTCGAATGGCCTCCAAGCACCCGCGGAGGTGGGGGGCGCATCTGACGGGACTCAGTCTACGCGGGTTACCCTTGCCGCAAGCGGGTTTACAGGACGGCTGAACCGAGCGGCGGTCATTCATTGTGCAGAGTCCTGTTGGGCTCCTTGAACGGAGAAGCCCTCGGCCGGTGTATTTAATGTGGGAATAAACGGATGGAAACTGCCTCCCGCTCTGACACAGGCGCCGAGATACTGGCCGGCAGCGCACTGCTCCCGGGACCCAAACCCCTAAATGCCACTCTGTGTTGGGGGCAGGAGGCCCTCTCTCCGCTCCTGCTGGTATGCATGACCAGCATGGTGGGGCTTCACACACAGACCTTGGGCTGTCTTCTCACTGCCCTGCGCCTCAGTTTCCCGCGGGAGTCCCCACTCCTCACATGCTACCCTTGGAAGTGTCCAGAAGAACGAAAGGAACAACCCAAGCATACGTTCCTCGCAATGACGGGTACCGAGTGGCTACGGGGGGGGGGGGGGGGGGGCCCCGGCCAGGAAACAGGAAGCCTGTAGTAGGTGTGAGTCCGCGGTTACTGTGGTCAACGCAGGCATCTTTCCCACGGTGAGGGGCGCCAGGCTAGGCTGGGGGTGTTCCTGGGGGTGGGAGTCCCGCGGCCTGCGGTGATGAACTTTCCCGAAGCATCCAGGGCAAAGGAAACGCAGAGTACATGCAGGAGCCCCCTGACCCTCTGCCAAGGCCTCGGGCTGTAACTTCAAGCTTTCATTTGGCTACTGCGCCAGCCTCTTTCCGGAAGAACTGTTCCTACACAGTCCAGTCGCTCGGCTGTGCGGACAAGCTAATGGCAGGGCACGGCGACCCGGGGCTGTGACCCCACACCCACTGTGGACAGACTCGTTCTGCACCAGCAGGTCACCTGGAAATTTCTGCTGGCGGTTTTGGGTCACTGAGGGAAGCAGAAAGGGAAATAAACACGCCTGTGTGCTCCGGGCCAGATGCCAAGGCCGCCCGGGTTGCCTCGCCCAGGCAGACACCAGACGGTTGGGGGACCGGCCTCTCCTCCTGGCTGGGAGCCCTTGCCGGGCACGGGGACAGCCTCCGGGTAGTAACGGCTTTTGCAGACGCTCCTCTGCTGTGGCCCTCAGTTGTCCAAGCCGCTGTTACGGGACAGGTAGTAACGCTCCCCACTGGACACCCGTCAGTGTCTTAGGTGTTCACGGCTGCTTTCCTGCTGAGGGGCCTGTCGCTTGCCCGGGGCGTGACCTGCGGCCAAGGCTGGTCTTGGTGGCACCACAGCTCATGGGTGCGTAGGGAGGAGGGGGAGGGGACGGGCGGAAGGCGGAGGTGGGGTCACCGGTCCCCGTGCGTGTGGCGGTCAGATGTCAAGCAGCTGGAGGACAGCCGTGTCTTACGACGGCGGGACGGTGGACAGCCCGCTCACCGGGACGCAGGCCGGCACCACATATCACTCATGGAATAAATGACTTGGCACAGAGGTGGCGTTCCAGAGCTTCCTCACCACGTTCCGGCTGCTTTCATTCAGGGCTTGAGGTGGAATGAGACCCTTCCCACCCTCTCTGTCCCCGTCTGTCATCTTCCATGGGCAGATACGGAAGTGAGAGTGTTTGGTCCCCAGGAATCTGCCGGGCTGCTCTCAGGGACGCAAGGAAGTTCAATGCCAAAAGCAACACGAGGACCTTCCCAACCTCAACTGTAGTCCGAGTACTCTGAAATCCTGCAGACCATCGCCTTCCTGGTGCAGGGCCAATGACCAGGTTTGCCGGGGGGGGGGGGGGGGGGGGGGGGGGGGGGGGGGGGGGGGGGGTGGGGGCCCCTGCAGGGCGGGGCCGCGCGCACCGGAGCTGGTCTCTGCCCCCGGGCCCTGGCTGGTGCGGCTCCTAATGCTCTGACAGAGGCCAGGCGTCTGCTCAGAGCCCGCGGGGACCCCTGGGATGCAGAGCCGGTCCGCATAGGGGTCAAGGCCATCGTGCAGTGAAGATCCAAGTATTTCAGGAAGTTGTCTTGGGTTCCCCTCCATATGCCCGTTCCTCGGGGGAGGGGGGACCCTTCCTGGCGGAGATGAGCGTCCGTCTGTACTTCCTGCCACAACAGGTCCTGCTGAGCAGAGTTGTGCCGAGCGGTGCCCGGAGCCGAGTGGCCGGGCCCTTCCTGCCCTCCCAGCCGCAGCCCGTCCCCTGCCCCGAGAGCCTCTCGTTCTCTCGCTCGCTCGCTCAGTGTTTATCAAGTGCCTCCTCTGACCCAGCCCCGGCCTCAGAGGCACGGGAGACGTCGCTAACAACGTCCACAGCGACTCCTCACCTCTGGGAGCGTACGGCCAGCACCCGGGACGGACGGTAATGATGGACACAAACAAGGGCCGTGACCCCGGGCGCTGGGAAGAGATAAGCGGGTGGAAACGGAGCACGGGGGTCAGGGTGCTGGGTGCGGAGCTGCGGGATGGGGAGGGCCCCCCAGGGAGACCTCGGCGAGAAGCTGGCTTTGTTTCTCTAGTAGTCTTCACGCCCCGCGCGGAGCCCAACACGGGACGTGAACTCACAAGGCTGAGATCAGGACCTGAGCTGAGGTCAAGAGTCGGATGCTTCACTGACTGAGCGGCCCCGGTGCCCGAGAAAGTGGCTTTTAAGAAGACGTGAGGAGGACGTAACTGAGTCACAGGAAGCCCCGGGGGCACGTGTGCTGGGTGGGGGACGGGTGCGTGGGGGGGCGGGCGTGGAGGGTGGGAGGGGCAGGTGGGGGCTCGGCTCCCCTGCGCCTTCTCTTCCCGGCGCTGCCTTCCCTCGGGGACCAAGGGCACACCCTCCCTGTGCTTACGGCCTCTCTCTCCAGCCTGGGTGGAAAGCCCGGGCGTAGGATGTCCCCGTCCTGGCCACTGCTCTGTCCCCGGGTCCTGGAAGTGCCTCAAACACGCCCAGCGGGTCATCTGAGTAAATGGGACGGCGAGTGATCGCAGACGGGGGTGTGCGGCTCTACCCTGACCCCTGTGTGGGGGGGGACGGAACATGGCCGAGGACCCCCTCCCCCCAGCACCAGAGCTCGTCCTCACAGGGTGGGGGGGCACGTCCCTAGGGCTCAGCCTCTGAGGCTCCGGCACTTGGTGCTGCACAGAACCGTAAATAATCGGCTAAAAACGACCTTCAGGTGCCCGCCTGCGAGTTAGCGGCGACCCGAGCTCCGTGTATGCCTGCGTCTCCAGGAAGCCAAGTAAAAAGACATTTCACAGGCAACCAGGGGCTTTGATTTCTTGCTTCCACTTCCCATTTTTCTGAACGCAACCCGCTGTCGGCTTGGCCCTTGAGCAAGGCCTGTGTCCCCGGCGGGGAGGCGACAGGCGTGTCAGCATCTCACGAGCTTCTCTCCAGTGTCACCGTTGAAAAGAAGCCTGATCTCGTAAAAGCGGCATAGTCAGAAGTGTAGACGGGGTTTTAAAGAATCTTGTGCTCTCACAGCTTGACCTTCCACAAAGGAAGAGGAGAGGAGGGGAGGAGGGGGAGGAGG